AAATATTGTTTAATGACTATCCCAACTTCTACATTAAAAGAATATTTTGGTAGGAGGCAGTGGAAAATGATTCTATTGAAAGTTTCATTCTTCTTCAGTTTGATGAGGACCTCAGAAAGCATCGTGACTAATATATGTATATGAGTGGTTGGTTGGTTGATTTCCTGCATCTTTCGGTAGGTGTAACATCTCTATTTCACATTTATTCTTCACTTTTATTTGATGATCGTTGTCGTTGTCACGTGACTGGTAAACAAAAATCGTAGCGCCTCTCACTTTTATGTTAATTTCAAATATTTCAATTCCTCTCTATCTCTATTTCACTAAGCTCAGGACCAGTTGCATAAACTTCTCCATTGGTTCAATTAGGAATCAACTCACCTAACTAACCATGACGAAGATTATTATTCACTACCTACCTATTTTTCGACGTACAAAAAACGATGCATTCAACACTCAGAAACTATTGCCTTTGCAATAATGATCCCGCGTGATCCAGATTAGTTAGAAGAAAGTTTGATCCATTATTGTATCCTGGGAGTTTCAATGCGGATTCGAAATCAATTCTATACAAACATGTATATAATCCGAAAATTGTATTAGTGACGAGAACATCTCGCATCTTAACCAATTAACGAGTCGCTTTCAGGGGGAGCGCATCTACAAATTCACAGTAAACATCGAGTAATTGGTTTATTATCAACTTCTTGCGCTCGAAGAATAAGCGTTATTTAGATACATGTATAATATGTGTCAGGATGGGGAAGTCAGCGAGACATCTGTATAGCGTATGCGAATAGAGCAAATCCAATAAAGCCAGTCAAAATGGGACGAAAGTAATCCGGTTTAGGAAAGTTATATGGGGCCGATTGAAGTTCCACACTTCTCTACATTTATATCGGGAGAAGTCGGAACAATGATACGCTGAGTAACCCTCATCCTCATGCACCCAAGCATTCCATGTGAATTTTATATCCAGTTGATTTTTTGGTGGAGGATCCACTATAATATGGTGGGAGCACTTCAGCATTTTAATGTCGCCAAATAAATATACGTTTTTTTTTTAATTGAGTTATGTTTCTATTGGTTCTTATACTTGATATATTATTTGCATGTCCAACATATAATTTTCCAAATATTGAAGTTTCAAGGTTTATGGAAGAATAATTATTTTAACGACTTCGCCATAACAAACAATTCTAGATTATTTATGTTTGAACCGATTTGAACTTCCGTCCGTTTTCACTACTGTTGTTGCTCTACGTGATGTATACTTTGAATGTTGCTTCCAAAGATCATCATTAATAATTTCAAGATTCATCGATTAATAATTTCAACGCCTTCGCCATATTTTCAATTCTTAACTGTTTTGAACTTTCATCATACTTTCTGATGGAAGTTTTCAAATATGTATTCTTTAGATTAGGTGTTTGAATATTATTCTATTAGATGTAAATGTAATTAATCTATTTCGAAGTTAGTGATATGCTCCGCAGAAGAGTTCACGAAGTTGAATCAATTAAAAAAAAATACTAATCGAATATTTTATTCAGCATTCTTGATAGGTCGTCGAATAGCCAAACGCTGGAAAAATGTTTCGGTGTCAACAAAGATTTTATGATATTTAAACGAGTAAATAGGATAGTTTTTTCTGGATATCATTGGAAGAAACAAAAAGCATCAAAAAGTCACCCTGGGGGTATCAGTGCACTGTTACTATAACAATAAATCATAATAATCACGAATGAATTACTCAGGTGTGGCTGGAAATTATATGCAGAAAAATCTAATCATTTTTGCAAGTAGTAGGAGTGTTTGCCACCTCAATTGTTTCTAAGAGCTCGTCAACTTTCTTATGAAATAAAAAGCTTGCACGAATGAAAACTGAAGAATACTCATCCACTTAGTACGGTAAAAGCTGAATATTCTCGTCACGTCTGCATATTATTCCTGTCATCCAGAGCAGTGCGAAAATCTCTGTGAGAAGCAAACAGCATGATGTGTGAGTGCGGTTTCTGACTCTAAGCCAGAATGGATTGTTATTACCGAGGTTTTTCTCGATTTTAATCTGGGCCGTTCGTTATTCTACTGCCTTCCTACTTCAGGAATTCCTTAGATAGTTCTCTATACTGCTGCGAAGTCTCTTGAAATAGTACACCGATATAGGCGATATATTTTCGAAAATGTATGTAATGGATAGAAATATACGTTCGATTATTTTGAAGCTTGATTGATTGAAGAAAAATTCTAGACTAGAAAAATGAATTTTATTTTCACAGCATGAATATCAAAGAAAATCATTCAAGCTATGTCCTATGCCGTGATACATTTCATCTGTTGATGAGTTTATTCATACAGATTGATATCTACCTCTGGAAATAGTCAGTCGACCGATGAGAAAGGATGAATAGCCCCATCGGGGCTTTATCTATAGTTCACGTAACATTGATTCCATTTGGAAATAAATAGGTCTATATGGTCTATTTCAGCGGTGACAGAGTCTCAGCGAATCATTCTAAAATGAGGTTAATGAGTATTCCTGTACAGAATGGTCCAGAATTTCGTACATTAATTCCTAAAGATGATAGAGACTACACCAACAAAAGTTAGCCCCGATGGAGTTCGATCAAAATTGAAAAAATACGCTTTCATAGAACGGCAGCCTGCATTGATTTGAGATTTTTTGTAATATTCAATTATCACAGGAAATAAAGTGTATGAACTCCGCTGACTGTAACGAAACTACACTGTACTGGATGTTTCAATTTGGAAATTCATGATTAAAGATCTTGAAATGAACGAGAGTTTGAGTGATGTTATTCCTTAGGCATTTGTACTTCTTGACAATATTTAGCAAGGATTTTTGTTCAAGAAGGACTATTTTTTCCATGAGAGATTTTCTCCAAGGGATATTTTTCCATGAGTTTTTTCCTTGGTGATTTTTGCATAGGAGAATCGGTAGATTCAGTAAAAATAGAACTCCAAAAATGCCATGCAAGCCAATGGTGCTCGGAGGAAGTTCGTTCGTAAACTAGCTGGAGCCTCTTGAAGGACCTTAAATACGAAACAGAACAGCGAGATGCGAGCATAATGACGAGGATGACGAGATATCATTATTGTGCAGCGTCCGACCAAGTGAGAACATCAGCAGGAGTGGTGGTGGCTCTGAAAGCAGGAAATTAAAAGTTCAAACGTCTGTGCATGAAATCCATTTTACGCCATTATAAGAATACAGATCAAAGGAACGGCAGAACCAATATCAGGAGCGAGCCTTCGCTCGTTCTCTCTCACTCTCTCTTTCTCTATAGCAGGACTTGATTTCTCGACGACAGAACTATATTCCGAGATTTCGGAAATATCAGGAAACGTCATCTACAAGACATCAATTTTCCGTACTGTTTGGTGTTGAATAGCTTTACCTCATTACTATTATAGTTGGGGAGACAGCGACATATTTTTTTGACATATTTGATAAAGAATAATTCCATTATTTTCGTTTCATATTAACGCCTTCTAGACATAAAATCAACTCCAGGCGCACCATCGGGACGTTTATCAGCACGTTATCAATGCTGTTAAAAGAACGGGTAAATGTCAAACATGATAAAAGGTGAAACTTCACCAATCGTTCAATGACCCCACATCCCGAAAACCCGTGACAATTTCGGAAATAATTATTATGATTCCTATCAAGACAGATGTTATCACAAAATGGTGAAAAATTGGACATTGGAAATTTATAAAAAAAATATCCTCTTGATCAAGTCTCTAGTCTGAACTAACAGGAAGATCCTTTTTTAATTAAAGTTTGGCAAGTTCTCCAATTTCAACATTTATTTCCCGTAGAGTAAACACAAGCGAGAGCGACATCAAATCAAATATCAATCTTATCAAAACGTATTTTCGGAGTGTCCTTACCAAGCGAAGACGTATGAGAAACGGGTGAACATTTTAAAACAGAAACTGGGTTTCAAAAGAGGGTAGCGCATTCACCAATTAGTGTGGTGTGAAAGATTGCCACTTTGATTTATATTTTGTTAATGTTCACACTTACGTGCGAATGTTCCTTATAGTTCATAACGAAAATTCATTGAATTGTGCCTTGCCCATTCGTCAATTTACAGGGTGATTCACTCTCAAGAGACTGGGTGCGATTATATTTAGTTCATTGGCAACTTCGATTTTGAATTCTTGATTCTAATTATCAAAAAGAAACAATAAGATAAGGGTATCGATCCAGAAAAAATTCAGTGCTCTCGAAAAGTACTAAAACACCACGAGTCCGTCAGGAAGACAGAATTATGAGAAGATTTTCAGATTAGAGTGGTATTTTTCTAGACTATTTCACGTTCACAAAGCAAAAAAAGCATTTATTATAAATGGGTGGTTTATTCTGACAAGTACAACAGCCATAATGATTTTAAACCAAACTGCCAGACCTTGTGCTTCGCTATCTATGGTTCTATCCAGACTTTGCTTCGCTATCCATGGTTACATCGTTGAAAACATCAATGCTGATAGACCAATCAGAATTGAAAGACCAGCTAATGCGCGATAAGCACATACGTTGTCTTTTGCTTGTCACATTATGTGATGAGTAAAATAAGCCAGCCAAATTAATTTCATATTCCATCAGTACTTAAAAAAAAACTGTTCATCCACACGCCACACGCCAAAAATGACAGGTGACCAAAGATCTCCTAAAAAATCGTCAAAACAACGAAATTTTATTTCCTTTCATTGCCAAATGCGTTTTTTTTTTCGGTTGTTTTCGTTCACGGGGATCGTTAAAATACACTTTTTCACGAAATAAAATGAAGTCGAGCGCACAGAAAAATTCTAGAGGGTTCCAGAAGGAGCCTACAGCTCTGAGAGTTCTAGAAAACCGAATATGCCTCAAGGAAATATCGATATGGAAAAAGATACAGGGCGTTGAGTTTGATTTTTTTTTTCGTGAAAAATTACAGCTTTCGCATACAATTTTCCATTTTTTCTTCCAGGATAAAAGACCACTGACCACCACCAATCCACCCCCACGAAATCACCATGACAGTGGTGAACGAATGGGTGTCCAACACGAGGTTCGGGGGGTGGGTACAGCGGTGCAGGGAGTCGCGCCGCCTCGTTCTGGTCATCGTCGCCATAGCTCTTCTTCTCGACAACATGCTCCTCACCACTGTCGGTAAGTGAGGATGGTTCACCCTCCATCCCCGATATTTCACATTTCTCTACGAAAAATCCAATTCCGTTCGATATTTTACCACTTGTTCAACATATGTTTGAAGAGGAATAATAATATAATAGATACAGGGTGTTATCAAATAAGTGTCACAACGGAAAACTGTAGATTCCTCATAATAAAAGAATCATTTCTGTCCTCTTCAAAATTTTTCTCCGGGCTTCCGGTTTCAAGATACAGGGCTTCAAAAAATCAAAAATGTTCAGTTTAATCAAACACACTTTACAACACTTAATAAACTTAACAATTTGAAAACCAGCATCGTTAGCAGCATACTCAAGAACCTGACATTTGATTGAACATATTATTAGACAGTTCCGAGGTGTTTATTTCCATTGGATTTTTAGACGATTTTTGGAGATACCATCAGGATTTTGTATGTTCTTATTCATAAAGAACCATTTTTCGCGGAAACTGTTCACTTTAGAGCATTGAGACAAGAGGACGTTTTTTGTGTGAAATATTGGCGCTTCAGAATCTACTTTGAAAATCACAATTTCTCCAGTGGCATAAATGTTTGGGGGGTTAAACCCTTATACGAGGCGTTGAATTTTCCTCTACTGACATGTCCATGGAAATTGATCAAGAGCCCTAAAAGTAGTCATTATTGATGATGAAATGTGTACGAAGCTCAAACGGTTCCAGAGATGAAATTTGAAATTTTTGTCAATACGCTTTTGATGACAATAATAAGTTTTCTCATTTCCAAAGATAATAATATATATCTGAACTCTCGAAGTTGCTTTGATATTTGCATAGTTGTAGATAAAGTATAATGCGCATAATGGCAAATACTCACTCATCAGATGATAACAGTATTCACCTTTCTGCTCGTACTGCAACTTTCATCTTCATGGGTGATAGCAATCATTATGCGCTGAATATTATAGTATATATATTCGACTCCAGATTTATTTTGAGGTAGCTTTCTGTCCATGGTTTTTCCTCTCAATTTGGGAGTGATTATTCTCATTTCAACTGTTCTCAGCATTCTTGAATATTTTTTTTCAACTCTTTAAGAATGCGACGATCATTCTCGATTAAAAATTGAAAAGTTATAATTTTGTTGGAATGCAAAAAATTACGTTTAATTAGTCCAGTGACGTGAATTCGCGGTCTTGGTGTTGTTAAAAAATACTCTACTATATCATGTTCTCTCTTATATCTTATATCTTATATCTTATATCTTATATCACCCTTCCAGTAGATAGTATGAAAAATCGAAAAGACAGGTTAATTTTATTTTTAAGGGGAACACTTGAAATGAATATATTTATTCCTCTTGGTTCAACTTCCTAGTAGGGGTAGATGTTACCATTAGGATCTCAAATGGGAAATGTGGTCAAGTGGCACATCATTTTGAAAGGCGTTTAACTCTCTTTCCAACGGTACCTACCGTGGTTTATCATTTCTTGATGAGCAGTTTTCGAAAAATACCGATCTGAATTCACGGAAGTAATAAGAACATGCATGCACTGAGATACATGGATTTCAGGTCATAGTTTTATTGACTCTCTGCTCAGTTCAAAATGAAATTGACCTGTCTTCTCGATTCTTCATATTATTTACTGGAAGGAAGATATTGAGTTGAAGTTTTCGAAATGTAACCCTGTATACATATACGTAAGATAACAATACTATATTTGGCGATTTTTATGGCAACATAGAGATAAAGGGTGGCATGAAATAATTACAATATTACATTGAACTGGTGATAATGGATTCAATCTTATTGACTTGTTTCATTTAACTCTCGGTTAGATCAATACCAAATTTGATGCTTTCGAACGAAAGAGATTTCCAAACGAGTAGATCGCACAAAAGATCCTCGTCGTCTCATATAACCGGCGAATTGATATTCAAATTTCCAGGTCAATTTAGTGGTAAAATTTCTGCGGCTGACGCACAATGTCAGCCGCGGATAGATTGCAATGATGTGTGAAGTGGGCCCTTAATTTATCTGGTTCATTCGTTATCAAAGCTCTCCAGAATAAATCCAATTAATCGGTATTTTCACACCGCAGCATAAGCTAAGGAAAATATCAGAGCCGCCTGTTATGGCGGTTAAATTCGAGAGAAAATTGGTTAGAGGACGCGGGTTTTCCATATTATTATAACATGTATAGGTAAGTGGATAGGAACAGGAGGAGCACTATCTTTCAACCTTTTATTTTGGTAGCAGAATCTCCACTGCATCTGCAGGCATATTTACATAGGTACCGGGTGGCACATTCAAGACGATCCCTGAATAACGTTTGAAGGCATGATCGAATGGAAAAAATGCTTAGAAACAACAACTTCACTTTCTAGAGGGACATAATTCGAGATTGATTTATCATCTGTCATGGCTCCCCTCTCCTCTTGAGAACTACCTTTTCAAGAACTTCGAACGGGAACATGGGTCGAAGGATACCTCATTCGAAAGGATTTCTACCCCGATAATAGTCGTGTTTTGTTTCTGCGAATCGCTTGATTAGCTTCTTTAAATTATAGAAAGAATGGTTCTCTATTCATTTCATTTTTCATGAGGAAACTGAAATTAATATATTCAATGTTGAATCTCACTCCTTTTAGTTGGTATCAGAAGCATCAAAAAACACAATTACAATGATGAATGGAGGATTTATTTCTGTAACTTGTTCTGCCAGACGAGTCATTAGTCTCTGATCATAGTAAACCATATACCAGACATTAGAAAATCTACGTCTGCATTTAGTACAGCAAAGTTATAAGGTGTGAGTTAGATGATAGGCTTCCAGGATAATCAGACTCAACAATAGCAAAGTTGAGATTACATGAATCAAGATTGGAACGGTCTCTACGGGCTAATTTGCTCAATCTTTGCCCACAAGAGATCTCAGACCACTGAATCACAATTACCTATCTTCAAAAGGAGCTGTCCATCAGAAATAGCTTATAGAATATGAGTGGTCACTAGATCAGCAACGGAGGAAATTAACGTTCCAATTAATTTTCCGCAACCGCAACTGTCATCCATCAAAATCAGCCCATCTCCTAATCGCATAGTCAGTGGCCTGTTGCTCCCGAAGACAAAAGCCTCCCATTTCCTTGTTAACAATCTGAATGAGGCGGTCTGGGAGATAAGAAAGTGGGGTTAGTGTAGCGAAGAGCCGAGGCTATGCGGCCGCCTAATTATCTTCCTCTAACGATTATGCCCACAGAGGCGAAACAATCGAAGAGCGTTCGGCCTTCTGTGACGATCGATCTTTAATTGTCTCCGCATGCCTCTTTCGCGGATAACAAGCTTCGGGGCTTACAGCTTAATTCTGTTAGGAAAAGGGATCTTTTTGTGTGGGAAAAACTCCGTCCAGAGAGTTGCCACAATTAGAACTCTATCAGGGGTATTTACGGTGTCTTTTCATATAGACCGAATGCGATTTGAAGAATAAAAAACAAACTGAACAGCTAATAGCACACTTTTTTCAATGGAGCTAGTTGTACACACTAGTTGAATTTACGTCGCAAAACTTTATTTTATGTTGATCTCTTCAATAATGAATATCAGGTGACACAGAGAAACACCAGAAGTGACATATTCTTTAGTAATCAATAAAATCAGTGGTGTATTGAGATACAAACAGGAAATATAGAGAGCAACTCTGAGTTCAATACATTTTCCCTGAGAGGATAAATTCCAGTTTACTGAATTGTCTTCTCAAGTATTCAGTATAAATAGAATAGGTTCTGATTTTTGAGGAGTTCATCTTGGAATCTCCCCAATGTTATCAATGAAACGATGATTGATTGAAAAACCAAATGAGTTTCTAGCCGCTGCTTTCTTAATGGATTACGATAATTATTCAATAAATTTCCAGGGCTCTGCAGATCAATCGCGTTGTGATAGTTGAACTAGTTTGGTCTTCATGAAATTTGCCCAATGGATCTGTTGCCACAAAGTTATATCCACGCATAAAGAATGCATGGAATTAATCTCCCAATTTTAGTTCAGTCTAGAAGAATTCTGAATATAATTCTTTATTAAGGCCCCGCGGAATGTTCTTTTATTCTGAAAAGCGATTTATGGTCTATAAAATATCCCCATTGTATACTTTCCTTTTATTCCCTCTGATGATTTTCAAACGATAATCATAAAAATCGTCGGATGAATTCTACAAATAATACCATCATCATCATCATCATCATCATCTATTCCCAATCGTCATTCTGTCGAACAGTGCTTGTGTAATACGTACACAAATAATAAAAAAAAGATTCACCTTCTTAGTATGAAGAATGAAGATCACTCCATATAAAAATTGGATGTTTCAATATGAAATTGCCCTTCCTTATGCTAACAAAATGATGGGCAGCTCATGAAATAGTGGACCCATGCCATTCGAAAAATATTTCATTTCTTCTTCTGTTTTGAATGCAATTTGATTGAACAGATAATCTGTAGTTACCAGAGTTGTTGAAGACCGTGTCAACATAATTATTTCCATTATAGTAGGATTTATCATCATAATTTGGAAAGGAACGTGATCATATTAGTATTCATTGCGTTAACGATATCAGTTGAAATATAGTCATTCATATTATGTAGATGAGAAAAAATTTTGGATGTATCAAATTTGGTTCATTTGATGGGCAAGCGTTTCACGTTCCTCTAACAGAGGACGAATGAATTTTGCTCTCGTCTAGACAATAGGATCGCATCCATCTCGAATTCAGCACCCTGTAGCATCCATTATTCTCGAATTTAATGACACAGGGGGCGCTGGGTTCGTCGTAGCAAACCATAACCTCATTTATGCCATAATAAAATAAAGAGTATAGTGATTTTGCTTTCAAGTCATTATATTTCATCTAAAGCGGTTGATAGAGATTTCGTTTTAGGGTCGACGAATAAAATTCCTATAATTTAGCGGCACTTTATATTTCTTGCAGTGAATTGCGCGCCTCTCGCCATTATGATGTCGAGCCACTTCCTTTCCTCCTCCTTTCCGAAGGAATGCATTCTCGCGAACGGAGAGGCCCTTTTCCCCAATTACCGAGTGAAAAAACCGTGATATAACCCACTTTGGACCACTTCATGGCTTTTCTCAACGGCCAGATAATTTCAAATCCCTATTTATGTTTTCCATTCCGACTGCTTGACCCATTTCACGGACAGACAAGTTAGCATCCTCTCCAAGGAAACTCGCTAAGGCATGCTTTCACCAAGAACGTTAATCTCTACTTAACGCTAAAGTGAGGTTATTGAAGAATTTCACCAAACTCCAAAGCCTGATTAAATAGAACAATCGCGATTTTTTTCATTATCTTTTTTATCGCCCATTTTTGGAGAGTTAATTTGTTGATAGAGATTAACTGCATGTCAAACTTTCCGAATTTTGATAGAAGGTTTCGATACTCAAAAGAAATAGTGCTTCAGATATTGGAGTTTATCGAAGAACAAATAGCAAAATAGCAGGGCCATCTTAAGAACAAGGTACGTGTACGTGCCTTGGGGTCCCGGCCTCAGGGGGGCCTGGACTATTTTCAAATTGTTGCTGTGAGTTATGAGAACTCAAATATCGATGGATATCACATATTTTTTAGGTATTTCCCAATATGAAGGTAGCTGTTAGGATATTCTTGTGAACCCATACGGCATACATCCAACTGTGCAAGAGAAACATAGTTTTCGAAATTGAAGTTGGTGAAATATCATTGCTATTTCATGAAGGTAAGTTGTGTAGTTTTTGAATCTAACGCTACTGATCTTTAATTGTTGCAGGAAGAGAAACTGCTGAGACGCAATGATATCAAAAGATGATGCGACACTTGTTGAAATTGACACTGTTGTCGTAGTTTTCTTTTTAACTTGACTATGACAACATTGTCAATATTGATAAGTACCGCTTGTGCATCGTCAGAGTGCAGATGATCCGAGGTCAGCATCAGTCAACTATTAATTTTTATGAATACATTGAGTCAATAGAAATTATTATCATGTGTTGTTCTGTGATAATAGTGAATTAAATCTCGCAATGAAATAAATCATGATAGCATTCATTCGGGATTATGGCACTATGCCAGTCATATAACACATCGGTATATACCGGGTTGTCCATTCAAGACTATCCACCCTCGATAACTCACAGAAAAATGATTTTACAAAAAAGTTACGAAACACATCGATTCTTATCCGGAAGGAGACACTGTTATGATATTTAAATATAAAATAGGATAGGATTCAGTTATGTGACTTATTTAACAAATCATGACATTACATCATTTATTATGACAAAACATTCGTTAACTCCAATCCCATCGCTACTAAAATATACTGAGTATTCACTACAACATCTCCCCTTTAATGATCATAAATTGAATTTCTATTCAACTCTTGTAGGTTAGAATACCTGAAATGAACCTTGTGGACGATCCTGTGGCTGTTGCAATTGACTCTCGATCTTTAGCCTGCCAGAATCAATCTCTCTTCGGAAAACAAAAGATGTATCTCTCACTGGCCGGAATCATCCGAGATTAAAAATCCGTGTAATGCAGCTCCGATCTCATGAAAGTCTAGCAGCGAGTCCGACACCAGAAGAGATAGAAGAGATGCGCATCCATTGCAAATGGCATCTCCAGAGACTGATCTATATTCCCGTGCCGGCCACCCTTATCAGTGTAATGGTTTTAGTTATCCCTTGACTCTTAACAAATGCGCTCATACATTTTCAAACAGGCCGGAATAAAAGTCCGAGTCATTCGGCAATGAATTATGTAAACATTCGCCGAGGTGAGATAACGGTTTTAGGGATACAAGGAATAATTTGACGATGTTGAATATATCTTTGATCTACTCGATTCCGGTCATATTTCACCATGTTTCCATGAATACCTTCAATGGTTCAGCAGGGTAACTAATTGGTCTCGAATTTGAATAGATCCCACTACTAAAAAATAGCAATATATGTTAATTCTCCGAGGAAAGTATACTATATTACATGTGCTAGGCATTTTCTTCAAATTTGTAAATCTTTTTAATATTTATGGATAGATTTATTGAATAGGGTCATTTTTTTTACGTTTCGAATGGAAATATTTTCTGGGCAAACGAGTATTTTGATGAAAACGTTTTCGAGCTATAAATTTCTTTGAAAATGAATTTTGATAACTGCATTCAGTGCACTCATCCACCACTATTCACTTGTGGAAAAATTGCCATTTGAAGATGAAACTCGTTTGAATAAATTAAGTAAATTTTTTCTCAATTTTGTGCCAATGTTGAACCTAATGATCGTTGGGTTCTTTTGGCTGTTTAGGCGGTTCAAAAATTCAAGTATTTCTTATAGGTACTGTGTACTGATGTGTCTGAAGATTGCTGTTTGAGCTGAAACTAGTCACAATACATTTTGTGTAATATAGTTTTGTGGTCGACCAACTTGGTGTTATTTTGTTTTTTCTTTGGATAATTTAAATAATTAATAGCAACCATTGAAAACTTGTCATTACTGAAGATACAAATTTGTAGTATTTTTGAGTCGAAGGAGATTCTGGGCATTTTTATCTAAAACTGGGAGTTCTAACAAAAAATAAATAAGCCTGTCAGTCTTTCCTATATCTTTTGGACAATATAGGTGAAATCTGAATGAAGTTATATTATTTTTATGTAATATTTTCACGTATTCGCGAAAAAGATGGACTAGAACTGAAATTATTGATGGAAAAATTTCAAGAATGAGGAATTTCAAATTGCATCTTATCAAAAGTATTTATTACTCACCCTGTGTATTATTAATTATGAGAATGATGTATAGATCTTTTTTGTAATCCGAGCGAGAACCCAATATGATAGATCGACTATACATTCGTTACTTCGATGCATGTATTAGCTATGCAAGACATATGATTATGCGGATCTTATGGTACGTGCGCTTCCGTGACTCCAGTTTGCCGGTTAACTCCCCATCCGAGGGCCTACAGAAGTTATCTCTTCAAAAAATGTTCCTTCCAGACTAGAAAACGTCCTGTATGTGGACTTCCATATATTATGTGTCTGAGGAATGAGTTTGAAGTTCTTGTGATGATGAAATTCGTGGAAAATCTTCTGGCTGATTGCTCGGAGGGAACGAGAGGCGGCAGCGGGGGCGGCAGAGTATTGCATTAAACATGAAAAGCGAGTGGCGGCTTTTACGAGTTATCGAAGCGATAACTTCCCTCCCACCCCATCCCCCAAACCACCACGTTCGATCACTCTTCGGGCTCTATTTGATACTCCGACTGTCCGGATGTAATTGATGTCAATATTCGTTCTTCACACGTCACCCACAAAAACAACTTTTGCTTTTGAATACGATTACCATCATTAATACAATAATCACCAAATGTAAAAACTTCACAAACTGGTACAATGAACTAGTCCATTGAAGTTTTCATCTGACGTAGAAGATAAGAACTCTTCGATTCGCTGAAGTTTTCTATTTCTCAGGTTTTCTTTGGGTTTATTCGATTTCTTGAGTTTATATATTGTCATGCTTAGCATAGAATAATTTGCCCACAAAGACGAGAGCTTAATTTTTATACAGAGTTCTTGGAAATGTGCAGACATTATCTTCCGTTTACATTTCGCATACATTTTCAATGAATAATTCTGATGCGAACAGAAGTTGTATGAATAATTCTGATTGTCATGCACCGATTGCAAATTGCAATAAAATTCGAGAATAACAGTTGACAGTTCCTTCAATAGACAGGACGAACATGACACAAATATGACTGAAGGTGTGTTTAAAAAACCATGTTACCATGGTAATGTGTTTTAGAAATTGTGTAGCCATGGTAAAGTGTTTAATTTTTTGAATGAATCACAGATCGTCAAACCGTGATTAATCGATCATTTACATACATAGCCATTTTAGTTATGTGAGTAGAAAAACATACTGTTTCAATTCAGATTCGCGAAATATTCTATAAAGACCAGTAGCAACAAGTGAAATACATCCGAATGAGAATAAAATATCCACAGCAAATGTGGCGGCAAAGCGTTAGAATTGCCAATAAAATAGTAAGGACAGAGACGATACAGAAGGAAAACAGTAAAAAAGCGGCAGGGTTGAACTCGCTGAACGAAATTAGCATCGTTACAGCCCTGGTTTTATTACCCGTCCAAATAAACTGCCTCATCCATTTTCAAACAGACCTATGTGTCACTACCAACTAGATGTGTATTCGCAATCTGTTGATTCCTTCCGATGTTTTATTCAGTTGCAACACTCTTACTTATACGTAATGAAAAATCATTGACGATTTCAATCTCCCAGAAAATTACCTGCACAAAATAATCGTTCAGGATCGTACATATACAGTCTAGTTCAATTCCCTGGAGACTATTACATAGAACCTCTAGGGTATAGACCTCTTATAGAGCCCTAGGAGAATGCCTAGCACCGTACTCGTCCGACCATTAGCAGTGTTTAGAATCGAGATTGATTTCAAAATGGATTACAAACTGCGATGCTGAGAGCTACTTAAATTATGCCGCGCCGGCTTGATTAACTTCGCATGGTAATTAGTTGACCGTAAGCTGAGTTGATCAGCGATCGATGTTTCCAAGAAAATTATCAGCAAAATACTTTGCTCGAGGCCATTATCACAAAATGATCTCAATATTTAATAGGATAACAAATAAGAACTTTGAGATTCCTGTCAGTGTCGCCACTCTCATCGTGTTAAGATGAGATTTATATCCTTCAAACTCAGATGGATTAAATCTGATAATTTGTGTTGATTTTCAGTACCAATAATTCCGGAGTTTTTATATGACATCAACCACCCTGATGCACCTCTAGATGGGCCTGTAAGAGTGCTGACTACAACTACTACCACTACAACAACCCCAATTCCATGTCCTTGTCTTGAACGAGACCTGAATAATATTTCCACCACCGCCACGTCTAACGCAGAAGATTGTAAGTAACACTAAACAAATGAAAAGTTTTATTCACATTCACTAAACTTTTGTTAGTATAGTGTGACTGAAAACTCACTTTCATTTTGTAGTTAATTTGACAACTTTAGATCCAGAAGCAATGGGAAGAGAACTTCGGCACAAGGATTTGGTACAAGAAACCGTAGAAGTGGGAATGATGTTTGCCTCGAAGGCATTCGTGCAGTTGCTGGCCAATCCATTCGTTGGACCACTAACTCACAGGTAATACTCTAATGAACGTAATTAGTTTTACACTATCATTTTTAATGCCTCAATTCCCGACATTGGTGTTGTTTTTGTTTCAGAATTGGCTACAGCATCCCCATGTTCGCAGGTTTCATAATAATGTTTCTATCAACTATAAGTGAGTATACAACGTCTGTTTAATTTTCCACTTCATTTTCATTACTATTTATCCGAGTGGGTCATATTTTGACCGCACCGAAAAACGTTTACTAATGTTCCCTTGAGCCGTTTTTACTATATTGAATCCGAGATTGCCAATATCTTTCAGATGACCGTGGACACAACAGAATGCCATAGAAACAAAATAAGCGTTTTCAAACATGTCTGTTGGCTTCTCTAATTGAAATGGGTTCTTCAGTGAGGAAAAATACGAAATAGTATGGTAAGATTGTATCAAGAAAATATTGCAAACATTTCAGTAGTGCAGCAAGAATTTAGTCGAAGACGGTTCAAGGGAACTTTAGCAAATTATATAATACTTTTTTGTGAACATAAAAAAGAGATCTTTCACTAGAGTTGAAGGAGTACAGGGTGTTTCTTTTGGAAAAACTGATTTGGAATCATCTGTTTGTTTAAGGAGTTTAAAATTGCACAGATGAAACCATACAACTTTCATATTTGAAGTTTTTTTTTCCACTTCGTATAGTTAAAGCTGTAGGTAGGGGTCACAATATGAAAAGGCACCATGTACATAATGCTCAGGTAACGACACGCTGAGTGTGTGAACAGAGATTTTTGAACTTTTTGAAGTACTTTGCCTCATCAGGAATTTCGGATTGTTGAGTTCTCAGTCTCTCTTCTTATCGTGAACAAATTTCCTATATCCTGAAATGCAACATCTCACTATAGAATTCGATTTCCTATTCATCTTTCCTCCGTTCGGACATCTCCGATATTGTTCGGGTACCAAAATGGTCAATTTCGCCAAACGCGACACTGACGGCTTCAAATTTGTGAAGTATACCCGTGCCTGTGCTAGTAAAGTTCGACATCGGAGAGGAATATTGAACCTCAAACGGAAAGCAAGCTTAACACGAACGATCGAGCAGCAAGCAGTTGAGAAAGTCTACACACAATAACAAATTTTTAAAAATTAGTTGAATAGCGTAAAACATAAACTTGCTGTGGCTGTGGCTGTGCCTGAGTCGGTATATCGAACTACCTCGAAAATCTGCGATACGTGATATCGCATCCAGCATCACCTCTTTTATATCGTGATTCGGCTCATCAAGTTGTCCCGATAATCGAGTTAGCGCCAAAGAACATCCGAATGCGCTTTGTGCCCCTCGCTTGCCGTCAAAGTGGTTCTAATGAAATCACCCCGACGGAGGCTCTACACCTAATAACGCCACGCCACATCTCTTCTTCTTCTCCGTCTTCTTCTTCTTCTTTCACTTCTACTTCTTCGGATCTAATGGAGATGCGCGAAATGCGGACGACTCAGTCAATTAGACGAATTGAATCTTAATTGAGGCGATTGGAAGATCCATCCCATACACTCAAGTTCTATCAACTACCGTGTTATTGAGAATTGAGACGGGTCCATGACAAATCGATATTATCAATATAAATTATTATTGATAATGTTTTATGGAAAACTATTTTTCTTTCGGAAGATCAGTGGGCTTATTTTCATGTAGGAAATATTAGAGAATTCTACTGAAAATCGAATAATTGCTGGGTTTGTCATTGTTTTTCAACTTTCTTCAAAATGAATAATTTTTTTCTCACATTCTTAGAAAATTACTATCAGAATGAAATGGCAAATAGATTCTACAAGACATCCATACCCATATCTGAGACTGTACAGCCGTCCAAGAGATCTCAAGCGCTGAGATGGAAGAAATGCTGTTGAAATCCTGAGAAGATTCAGTCTAATCAAGAATTTTTAGTGAACGCTTTTTTTTGTAGTAGTGCACTCGCAATTTATCACTTTCCTGGTGAAAATACAATATAACTGGACTACTAAACTTTTCTCCCACCACGTTCTGTCCCAAAGTTGACCTGGTCGGTATCTACCCCGGAATACGTATGGAATGAGAAAATCAAAAACTACCTCATAATTGGATTACTTACTTGTTCCTCCGCAGGTTTCACCATCGGGCGCAGCTAAAGCGTCCCGTTTAATATAGTCAGAGCCCAGCAGGTTATAAACAAAAAACCGCCAGTGATTCATATTTTTCATCTATTTGGGATTTTTGGTTACTAACATATGGAGATATTTCATGAAAAAGTTCGAAATTTCATCTTTTTTTTTTTCGCTTGTCTTGGATACGCATTCAGCTACTTGCCCTCCTCATTTCAAATTTGATGTCAGTTTCAAGAACACAAACAGCAATATTTTTATAAGGCATGTGGGGCTAAATCTTCATATTTGGGTCTTTACTATCTGTAGTTCAGAGATTTCCCATTCTTAATTTAAAAAATAAAATTATTAAAATGTCATAAGGGAAAAACGAATCTCTTCAAGAGGGAATAACACAAAAACTGTTGAAGCTAGACAATTTATAAAGAGTACATTTTTTATGTGAAATTGAACGAACTATCAGATTTTCTACTTATTTTGATCATCAATGAATTTACATGGAAGAAATGATGTCAATTATCGAAGTAACAGAGTGCCTCTAGCACCCTCTATGAGCAATCATAAAATAAGTTGCAAATTCATATTCATCATGTCAGAAAACCTAGAAATAAAAGATTTCATGTCCATGCTGTTCAAACCAACAAAGTTATTGTGAAATTTTGAAATAAAATCTACCGCTAGAACACCTTGTATCTCCTAAACCAGCAACATTCTCATCAGGCATATCGGGCAAAAAATCTCATTATTTTTGTGTTTACTATCTGTAGTTCAGAGATTTCCCATTCTTGATGAATCACCCTGTATACAGGGTGTCCCATAAGTCATGTATTACTTCTTATCAATTACCTGAGAAATGTTGTTTTCCTTGAGTTTAGTCATCGAATGAAATATTTAAGTCGATTTTTAAATGCCGCTGGCAGATTCAAAAACTACCCCACAAAGAAAACCAATCATGAGAAAAAGTTGCCCATTTAATACAGATTCCGAAATGGTATAACATATAGGGTTATTCGAAACAGTCTTTTTGTTATTGATTTTTTTCGAATGGGTCGCATTTTTCAGAAAAATTGAATAACTTTTGAACCATCAACACAACATATATCGTTAGTTTAGTAACAAATGACCCCCCTACCACCCCACTTATTTTGATCCATTACTTATAGGACACCCTGTATATATGTTTCTTCCGTAGTTTTCGCTTTTGGGCGCAGCTACAGCGTCCTGTTCATAGCCAGAGCCTTGCAGGGGATAGGGTCTTCCTGTTCGAGCGTCAGCGGCATGGGTATGCTGGCCGAGCGGTACCCCGACGACAAGGAGCGGGGCAACGCGATGGGCATCGCGCTGGGCGGACTGGCGCTGGGCGTGCTCATAGGGCCGCCCTTCGGTGGCGTTATGTACGAGTTCGTGGGCAAGTCGGCGCCCTTCCTCATCCTGTCTGCGTTGGCGTTGGGAGACGGACGTGAGTTCTCGAAGTTTGATTTTAGATAGATAGATAGATAGATTCCCAAAAGATACAGATTTTTGATATATTTGCAGATAACAGGTATTCCTTCACAGACAGCTAATATTGAGTACTTCATTATGAAGCTATATCAGTGTATCTTTATCGCATAGAGCTTAAGGAAAATGGCTATAGAAGTTCTATTGAGTCGATAATTTGTAAGGATTAATGACTGCGGGTTTCTGAATGAATGAGTGTGAATGTATGTTTGCTGGGCGCAACATGGAACCACCATTTTGGTGGATCATAAAGTGGTTAAGGTAAATATTTTATAGTTCGCGAAATAATTCCTACATGAATCTCCGTACTTCAGATCAAATACTGTTCGAATCAAACGTTTCTGTATAATGAAGGTAGATATTGATTCAACAGAAGTACCCCAAAACTCAATACCAAACTACAAAAAGCTGTGAAAATATGCATAATGAACTAATTTTGCAACGTCACTACTTTTATTCATCCTAATAGTGCGAATGGTGAATATAGATTCGCCCAATCTCTTGTTTAATTGCTTTTTTATATGTTAAGACCAATTTAGATTACTATTAATGATGATTCCTAAAAATGTTGTGATTTGTGATGGATTTATTGTTTCATTGTCTACAATCAATAATTGAATATCATCATTTATAATAATTCATTGAGGATTGAATAAAATACTTTATGTTTTACTTATATTGAGAGAAAGCTTATTCGCTAAAAAACATTCAGAATCGTTTGAGAAAGACAAATTAGAGGTTGTATGTTGGCGTTATCAACAATCATCGGCAAACAGGAAGAATGTCACATCAGGAAAGTTGCACACGATATCATTGACGTATATTATAAATAGAGTGGGCCCAAGGATGGACCCCTGCGGGACACCTTTTTCACATCTGCCATTTCTGAGTATGAGTCGGTTATGAATCCTTTGCATATCATACAGGGTCACAGTTGTTTTAAATTCTGAATTCTTGTTTTCATTACTTTAACCTTTCTTCATTATGGGACGTCTTCAGAATATTCCAAATCTTCTACAATTTGATAAAATTATTAGTTTTCGTACAGGCGGTTCAGAGTTGAAGTAAATCAAGGCGATATAGTTTTACTCGATATTTTGATGAGAAGTATTGTCAGAATTCTTTCTTGGTTACCTTCAATTACAAGCAGCTGAAACTACAAAAACCTACATAGGGGCTCTTGTACAGGGTTTGCATGACACTGTTCTATATGTTTTTCCACCATTTTTAACCATTCACATGAGCGTATATACATCAATGTGTGTCTTGAAATTTTCTTCAAAAAAGTCATTAGGAAGAATAATGTAGAGGTTTCTGAGATTTCACAAAAACTAAGTTGAGGTCCTATTGAAAAATACGAATGGATGGCATCATAGAACTTGATGCGAGTGTTATTCATTAAATACAAACCCATTTGTAATTTGTTGTAGTGCTTCAACTGCTCATGCTGCAACCATCGGTGATTAGACAAGATTCCGATCCGCCATCTTTGAAGGCTCTGGTAACAGATCCATATATCATCATAGCAGCTGGTAAGTGTCTCTCTTCCTATATGCACCAAGTTTTGTACTCATTTTTTTTTTCATTATCCGGTAGCATACCAAATTTTACCTTAATATTTATGAGACGTATTGAATCACAGAATACAATTTTTGTTTAAAATTAGGTTCGCTCTCATTATACCTCATTTTTCAACTATTTTTGAGCGTCCGGCATCATTGCAAATGCCATTGATATTCTTGACTTCTCACCTCACACAAAGCAAACGTTTGAGTTTGGTCGTTAACCCCTGATCAATAATTCACAAAATTTACAATCTCCAGAATTCAATATCGTCTCAAAATATTTTTCCGATAAAAATCCATTTCTATTTCGTCTTTTTTTATCCTGCTTTTTTCAAAGTAGTTGTTTTTCTCTCGTTATGTACCATTTTCGTTCAGCTTATGAACTATTGTATTAATTACTTTGGGTTTCTCCCTCTTTGTGACCTCATTTATATATGTATTATTTTGTTTTAGGGGCCATAACGTTTGCCAACATGGGCATAGCGATGCTGGAGCCGTCCCTGCCTATCTGGATGATGGACACCATGGGCGCTGGCAGATGGAAGCAAGGAGTGACCTTTTTGCCCGCCAGCATTTCCTATTTGATAGGCACGAACCTGTTCGGGCCGCTGGGCCACAAAATGGGCCGGTGGTTGGCCGCCCTATTAGGGCTGATCGTCATCGGCATTTGTCTGATGCTCGTAAGTACATTTTTTGTTTTTTCCGATTTGGAAAATTCGTATATCGCTACTTCGAAGTTGGGAAACAACTCCCTAGAAGTGGAAACTTTTGCGGGGTTATGAAGAGCGGGGCCTACAGCTTATAGTGGAAATTGAATCAGTAGAAAAATCGGTCTAGAACTAGTCGAAATATTGGCATAAGTTTGACTGAATTATTTTTGTCAGGGTAGGGTTTGCTGAGGGTTGTTGGGTTCGAGAAATATGAAGAAATATGAAGTCAAATTCAACTCATTAAAGATAGTACTCATTTATTCACACAACATGTGAGAATATAGGAATATTTTTTTCGAATATTCATATTGTTCCTATTCATAATTATGTGAAGAATTTCAATTTTCGAAAATGTTATAACACGAATATTATTGATACTGGAAAAAATCAGCGAGAGACGTCCTGTTTGATTCAAAATTAGATACCTACATTTTTTATTTCTCTACTCAAAAACCTAGCAGAACACTCAATATGGCTGATGCTTCTAGATTCTATTCATTTTTCTGATCGGTGATAGCACACTCACTAATTTCTTAACACCATTAAAATACCGCAGCAGGAAAGTCGGCAACCTTTAATTTTTCTATAAAAAACACCACGAAAAATATTCTTCAGAAATTCCATTCCATGCCTATCAAAAGCAGTTGAACTTGAGATATAAGATATGTCAAAGGAAATGTCGAACAACTGTCTGTCAAAACTCGTCTGTCGTTAGAACGGCAAAGCTTTGGTATTCTACAACTAGAATATTACCAAGAACTTATAACTTCCAAAGGTGAAAAAACTCTTCCTATCTTCTCTACGTTCTTACGCTGTTTCACGAATATAATGAAGATTTCCTTAAGTGCTCTCCAAATGATCAAGAAAACTTGGAGGTTATGATTAAAGAATGGTCAGAATGATATAACACGAAAATACATTCGTTTTTTAGCAATTGTAATCTATAGCTCAACAATTATCTATACTAACCCATGATAATATCGAAATTTCAGCTTCAGGAACCTAGACGATCAGGGGGAGAACAATGTTTTCTTCATATTCCGAGCTAGTTTAATCTATCTGAACTGAACAATTCATCAGAAATATTGGAAAACATATTGGAATCCTCAAACGTAAGGCCCTTTGAAATAATACCACAAACGAAAGAAAAGAAAAAACTGAAAAAATTCTCTCTGAGGGTGACAGACAGGCTACAAGCCAAAGAAATAAAATTTTTGCTGTTATCGGTCACAGCCCTTAGAAAAATCATAGTATATAACTTGCACGGTATGCCAATTTCCCACGTATGATTTACAACGTCATTTTCGTGGGAAATGACTACCATTTCGTGCTCGTTGTTCAGATACTTCTCACTATGCGATTTTTTTTTCAGATTCCATTGGCGACGAGCATGAACCACTTGATCGTGCCTAACGCAGGTTTAGGCTTTGCCATCGGCATGGTGGACAGTTCGATGATGCCCGAATTAGGCTACTTAGTCGATATTAGGCACACTGCCGTCTACGGCAGTGTATACGCTATCGGAGACGTAGCCTTTTGCTTAGGATTCGCGATCGGTAAGTAGCAAACCAAAAATCTTCACTCCCTGAATTCTTCAGAAGTACATAGTAGACGTGAAAGCCTCCGATTTTTAATAAATTAGGAAATAATATGTGTGTGTGTCTGACTCCTAATGGAAGCACACTATATAGTATCTCAAGTAATTGTTGAGTTTGGATTCTGAAATCTGCAGAAGCGGGAAATATACCGAGAATACACACTTTGACCATGTGGAGTCATCTTCAGTGATATTCACTATTCGCCACCAGACATGGATGTACCCATACTTTCAGCAAATTGGGAGGCAAGATAGGTTGAAAATCACCTTGGATTTGAAATCAGGACGTCCAATTCACTAACTTTTCATATTTTTCTTGGAAAACTTCAGTTCTGAAAAATTTAATTATGTCTCATTTTTCATGGAAGCACCCCCGTATCTTACATCGTTGACTGCATCTTTGGACTCTTCCTTTCTCCTGGAAATTTCAGAATCCTGTTTTACGAGAGTGCTTCCATGAAAAGTGAAACCAAATTTGATTTTTCAGAACTGAAAATATGAATAGTTAGTGAATTGTTCGTCCTTATTTTGAATCCGAAGAGATTTTCAACCTTCCTTGCTTCCCAATATCATTTTCACGATATGTGGGTGGTCCTTATATCATTTTCTGGAAATGTCAGTGGTTCTATGGATGTTGGCGACCAGTGAATATCACTGAAGATGACCCCACTTGATCATTGCGTGTATTTTTGGTATATCCCGCTTCTGCAAATTTCAGAATACTAAACTATAAAATGTCAATAAGGTGAAATGATGAAAATTGAAGCAGCGCAATGTTGATAGTTTTTCATGTACTTACAAAATAATACTTGAACTACTAGCACTAGCAAGATAAAAATAAGTCGAACCATGAAAAGATCCTACAGTTTTCGGAAAATTGAAGAATGTTAGTAAACCTGCGATTCCTACTGAAAGTATTCCGTTACCTGAAAACGATGCTGACATTCCATATCTGATGAAAACTTTCAATTTTGAAATACGTTAACTAAAAATTCATAAATTACTGACAGATAAATTACGTTCAAATATTGATTGGACTATAATATTTCCATTCGCGTGCCTGATTACTCAATTCAATTTCATAATAAATGTTTGGCTTTCGCTTATTTGACCAATTTTTTCGTCTTAGATTTAGAGGTTTTGTTTCCTGCTTCGCACTATTTCTCTGATCTACATTTCAAGTCCCATGTTCGAATGCATGCATGTGTGTCGTTCTCATTACATAATTTTTGAATTCAAATACCGATAATTTGTGATCGAAATGCATTTAATAATCATAATTCAGTCAATTGGCGATAGTAGGCACAGAGAAAGTTGTTCCTGAATGAAATGAATGATTGGAAGATGCTGGGAAATAATACTGCTTCCATGATTTTTTCAAATTAATTTCAGAATTGATATGTTGTATGATTTATTTTTTCAGGTCCAGCTATGAGTGGGACTCTTGTAAAGACTATTGGTTTCGAATGGATGCTCTTTGGCATAGCCATCTTGAATTTCATGTACGCTCCTTTACTTTACTGTCTCAAAAGTCCACCAACTAAGGAAGAAAAAAGAGTAAGTTATCATAGTCCATTCATCTTGTCATTGGACCTGGAAAGTGTCACAGGGATTTTGAAAATTTGTATTTTTATAAATTTCGACGTGCTCTTATAGTATCTTTGCTGCTAGCTACCATAAAAACAACAGTTTTATTGACAATATCTCTTTCCAACTCATTGTACGATCAGAATAGTTTGAAATATGTCGTGAATGAGTTCCATTGCTCTAAATATCAGAATAGTTTGAAATATGTCGTGAATGAGTTCCATTGCTCTAAATATTCCCTTGGGAATTTCTCTCCTTGTCTCTATAACCAATAATTAATTCAATATACAGGGTGTTTCATAATTGAATGCTGATCCTTGAGGGCGATAATCCTTGGATGATTTCAAAGAGAAAAGTTCATATCAACATATGTCCTAAACCTCTTAGTTATTGAGCTACAGGGTGATGAAATTTCAAGAAAAAAATGAGTTTTTCATCATAATTTTTCATCACTCTTAGATATTGTTATGATATTTTGTATACCCCTTTTCATTATCAAGGAGCATTTTTTTACGTGAATGATATTTGAAAATTCTCACCAGTGGCGTCCGTACGGGGTTTGAACTGACAATTTTTGAAGAAAAAAATAGTACGCCACTGATTTTTCTGGGAACCAGATTTTTTTCTCAATTCTTATTCATTTTGGAGCAAATTTGGTTCCTAGACTTACTTTCATACAACGTACCGTTTTCGCGTAAAAAAATAAAAACCAAAGAATTTTGTTCCTTCAGTTCTTGGATATTGTTTTTGATAATTCAGTAGACACCCACTATAAGTGGAAACACATTTTGTTTTGGGACGAAAATCAAACTTTTACTTCTACCAGTGATGTCCTCGTAGACCTGATATTGAATGTTTAGTTTAAAAAACGCTGTACGCTTCTGATTTCAACACCCTGTAGCTCAAAAACTAAGAGGTTCAGGACATATGTTGATATGAACTTCTCTCCTTAAAATCATCCAAAGCTCATCGCCCTCTAGGATCAGCATTCAATTATGAAACACCCTGTATATACTTTAAGTAAAGGCAGATTGCTTCAAAGTAAGCCAAAATCTATAAAAATGCCAATGTTCAAAACTCTTGGGAAATTTTTCAGAAATTCCATTTTTTGAGCACCAAGATATTGAACTATCATGGAATGATTTGACCTCTTTTTTAGAATTTGCTAAATGCTGAAGAAAAATCGTCTGTAAGATACGTGACGTATCAAAACGAGGATGACGACGAATAGAGGACTCAAGTTGGGATTTGTGATAAGGAAATTTTGTTGATGAAAAGTGTGTAAAAAGAATGGTAGGAAAAGTCATGGAATCGTCATTGAAACGGGGACTGTACAAACGGACTACTCCTTAGTTAAATAGGTTGATTATATTAATGTAAGAAAAATGTGTATGCTAAGACATCACTGATAGGAGAGCACAATAATTTAAAAGAGTCAAAATTCCCCTAGCAGGGCCCCCGTCTGGGATTGACGTGAATGGCTGCACGCAATCCTTTTCTGTGAAAAAAAATCAGAAGCGGGGCAATCAGATGCCCTCAACTTTCGGCTTAACGAATTGAATAAGAAATTGATTAGAAAAACGTGAAGCTCTCCTATCTAAGCCCGTCAAATGATTGCCACACACAATATAGAAAATATACTTATATAAATGTCTCTAAATTAGGTACTAAGATAATTCATTGTAAAACAGTAGGGAAACTATATCATTCTATGAGAATTGCTGAGCCAATCAAAAACCATCTTGAGGGCTGACTGTTATATGTATAAACAGATCGATTCAAATACTGAACCAGTTCTATTCTTCATCAGAAAGAAAATATGACCACATCAGGATAACAGAATTTTGTAAATAATTATGTACACACGATGATGCGAAAGTTTTGGTCCGAAAAATATAGGCTATAACGATAACCGCATATTCACGAATTTCTGCTGAAGGATTGAACGACTTTCTCAAGAATCACCCTGTGTATGAAAAGCAGTAAGGGGACCTCGATGTAGCTTCATATTATCCATAATAATCAACCAGAGCTAATCGTTGTTTTTGTATCGGACGATTTAAATAAAACGAATCGTCTCGCCTGTCCTTCTGAAGTTTCAAACTCAGAAAGATTATTGCTAAGAGACAATAATCTGAGTGCTAACCTGACCAACAAAAATTTATTTTTTGTTCAAAAGCTGGTAAGGGTCCTAACCACGAAAGGGCAAAGATGCCGTATCAGTATTGTTGTTAATCAAAAGGGCCGAAATAAGGGTACCTGGTCTAGTCGTAGGTTAGAATATGCATGTTAATCGTTTACACACCAAATGTGTGTTATCAGTGGTATTGAGTGTTCGGTGTTAAATGTCCCAATATGTGGTGCAATAGCGAATAAATCTATGAAAACTCCAACAATTTCATTGTTTTCTTTATACAGGATGACAGTTTGGAAACTTCCCACCCTATCAATATCTCCCATCCAGTTAATAATATAAAAAATCGAAAAGACAGGTCGAATTTATTCACGAGAGAAACACTTGAAATTATTAGTTGTAGTCTTCGTGGTTCAACCCCCTATAGTTACCCTTAGAATCTCGAATGGTACACATTTTGAAGGGCGTTCAATTCTCTTTGAAACGGTGATTTAGTTTATCATTTTCTGTGGAGCAGTTTCCGAAAAATACCGTGTCAATCATAAAATATCTCACCTTCGATATCTTCCTTCCAGAAAAGGATATGTAAAATCGAAATGACACGACAATTTTATTTTCGAGCGACACACTGTAAATGCATATTTTTAGACCTCTTGGTTAGACCCCCTAGAAGCTTACATGAAAAGCGGGTCAATTATATATTTCCAACAGTGTTCTAGTTCACCATTTTTTGATGAGTAGTTTCCGAATAATGCCGATTTAGATTCATAAAAGTAATTTAAACATGCCTGCACTGAGATGCATGGTTTTCAGGTAAGTATTATAGTATTGATTGTCCTTCCAGTTCAAAATATTCTTACCATTAGGACTGAATGTTTTGATTACTTCTGTAGGTCTAGAACGGCATTTTTTGGAAAACGCTCTACAGAAAATGATAAACTAAGGTACCGTTGGAAAGAGAATCAAACGCCCTTTGAAATCATGTGCTATTTGATCCCCTTTTCAATTTGTGGTTCTAAGGGTAACATCTACCCTCCTAGGTGGTTGAACCAGAAGGACTGTAACTAATCATCTTGAGTGTCCCCCTTGAAAATAAAATCCACCTGTCTTTTTGATTCTTCATATTATTTACTGGAAGGAAGATATTGAGGGTGCGAAGTTCTCGAAATTTCACCCTGTATGTTCTCCCTAATTATAAAAAAACTTCACAAACAATAAGATTTCCAAAATATTCTTCGAGTAGAATAATCGTTCAATGCATTTCTTGAGGAAAGTCTTTTACATTTACTATCGATTTCCATCAAGTACCTACCTAATCGTCGAGTCAATATACAAAATTATCCCTTATTCATATCATAATCTTTTTCCAACCATTCATGTCATAATTAATATAATAATTCTACTTCTTTGAGATCCAATACTCACTTCAACGGTGATGATAAAAACGGAATATCTGTTTGTAAATAGTCCGTGAAATTGCATTATGTCTACAGGTCTCATTTCAAAACGCCGGGAAAAACATTACCAAGTCTATGATATGTACCCATAGCATTGAGTTAGCTAATATATTTCCATTTAGATCGTAACGAACTAACAAAGTTTTTGTATTTGGCGTAAACGGGCACATATTATAGATCAGGAAAAGTATAAAGCTAAGCGAGTTTTACATAATGTGATATAATTTGAACGTGTGAAAAATGCACAGTACCCGTACTGGGATACTTTCTCTTATCTATGGACAAGTGCGTACACCAGGTGCGTATCAAACGAGAGCATAATTTGGAATAACGAAATTCTCTTGAACATCCTTTTTTACAATTGCCAATAAACGTACTTCTTCTATGATTTCATTCTGTGATTGTTTGAAGAATTTTTGCAAATGGAGTGTACATCAGGTTAAGCGAAACTCAATGTATCAGCTATATTATGAGAAAACGAAAAATGATAAAAAATCTGAACAGAGGTGCTTGAAAGTTATAGTTTTATATTCGAAAATCCAATAAATGTCTTCATCGAACTCCCGCTATATTTTGGCATATTTGGAAAGACGCTGTAAAATATACGATAGACAGGAACATTGTTTTCTTTGTTGTGTTCTTCTTTTCATCTTTTTTCGTTTCACCACCATCGTTTGTTTCACGAAATTCGAGCTCAGAAAAATTGTCAACTTTTTTTTTATTTTGCAATTGCATAAGTACCTATTTATATATATATTTCATTATTTAGTGATAAACAAATCGGTAGGATCGAATTTGCCCGATGACAGAAAAGTAAAAGATACTATACTTGATGGATTATTTCTTTATTTATCTTGGACTTTCCATCTCAAGTTCTCCGCCGCTGAAATGGCCCGTGGCCAGCGAAGTATGTAAGCGCATTTCTGTCCACCCACCAATTTATAAAACCCCTGGTAGCGTATCACTTTCGACCACAAGTCCACCGAACTTCTGTGATCCACGCCGTGCAGAATAATCATGAATTATCTGGTAAGTATCAACTCACAAAATACTGCATCAGTGTTCACAAGTGGTTAAAATGATCAACAAGTGGTTAGAGTAATCAACAAGTGCGTTATGGTAATCAACAAGTGGAAAAAATGATGGTGAAAAAACTGCGGTATATCTATAGTCAATTAGTTTAATAAGCGATTTTTATAGCCTTTCATCATTACCGGAATATCGAGGTTTCTTGCTAGATCTCTGCTTCTTGCAAAGCTCGTGAATTTATTTGGAGGCTAACTGAGTAATTCCTTATTCCTTTCATTTGTTTCATGTTTATCTGGAAAATCTGAATTTTTCTGGGCATACTATACTATACATACTCTGTTCAATTTTCATGAGGTACCTCAGGAGCAAAAGAGGTTGGTTACTTTAGTTTAAATTGAAGACCTTGGTGCGAGAACCGGTCAAGTCCAATTTTCTCACGAAATGAGTTAAACATGTCAACTCATACAAATTGAAATTGCGCATCTTTTGGTGCAAGAATCAGGCAAGTCTGTGGCATATTTGTAGAAATATAGTGGCAAAGGACTTGCCCGTTGAAACGATTTGGCTCAAGAGACAGGAAAGTCCAGGACTTTCTAGCTCTCCTTGATTAGAAATATTTCTTCACTTAGTCTTTTGTTTTCTTTTCCCAGAAGATTCGGAAATCCCCAATGATATCAGTAAAACAAATGGAAATTGTTTTTTCTTTTTTTGAAATCAAAGCCGCATGTAACGAAAAATTGAATCTTCTCGTTTACTGCACATCGATCTCTTTCAATACTATATCAAATGAGAACGAAAGAAAAAATAATTTGAGAGTCGAATGATATCTTACCAAGCTTCTAAAATCTGAGAACCGAATGGAAATCGATTAATTTTTTTGGAAGTTATAATCTTACGAATCTGAGCGAAAATGTCAGGTGTCCCCCTTCTATATTTCAACGCCCAGTGCCCACTACGATGCTACAATCACTTATAAAAACCCTGTTCTTCACAGATTCTAGCTGCTTCTCTGAGCCTCTTTCTGGGGTGCTCGTGCCAATACCAAAATGGAGGCGGTGAGGGTAACCATGAGGACTACAACAACTACCAAAGGACACCGCCACCGCCTCAGATTTTGTCGCACAAGCAGGCTCTGAACCACGACGGCGCTTTCAAGTATCTGTTCACCTCAGAAAACGGACTGGCTCAGGGCGAAAGCATAGCTCCTGATGGCTCCAGAAATGGGGGTTACAGGTGAGAGTGTTTCCATTTATTTTCCTTATTAATTGTGTTACCTTTGGATTGATCAATGATCTATTGTCATCTCGACGTTTTGAACACGCATATCCTCTTAGCCCTTAATGATAAGAAAATAACACAAAGTATCATAAAATTCATACAGAAAACGGGATTGAAGATTTGAATAAAAGTATTTTAGCTTCGTTCCTCTGTGTTCTACCTTATGTGTTATATACCCTCTTTCAGCGGTCTAGTGTTGTGTGTCTCATAAATGAAATGCCATGATAGACCCCTTGGCGAGAAGAAACCTTGTGATCCCTTGTTCTTCCTGGTGTTTTCTTCTATTAAAGTTCCAATTTTGCTGGTAGGCTTTAAGATCAATATGAAATAAAAAAACTGTGACTGACTGTATGGATCATGTCCGAATGCCAAAAAAAAACACGCTTATATTAATTCTGAATGTATGATAAATTGATATTCATCATACAGGACGTGAAAAGGAATTCTGAATTGAGAAAACCTAATCACGAATATGCGATTGAGATCTGGGTTTGAACCCCTTGATTGGGTGAAAGTATTGAGAAGGAATATTCTCAGATATATTTATGAACACAAAAAAATGAATATATGTATAAGAAATACATTGATAATTTGCATTCTCTATGTAATGAAAATATCAATTCTTTCTCGGTTTATTCAACACAAAACAACTACTTTCCTGGCTATATGCACGACGAACATTGAATTACATCTATTGAACACACACGATAAGAATTTGAAAACAAAATCTTCTGAAGTAGAGAATTTGTATTCTGCTTCATATAAAGATATGTATATAATATCATTCTGAATATTCAACAGAAAACAACTACTTTCCTGACTATTTTCCACGTCGAACATTGAATTATATCTGTTGAATATCCAAAAAGAGAGCATGAAAAGTCAAAATACTCTAAAATTGAGAATTGACATTGCCGATCGATAGAAAAAAATTGTCAACATTATTTTGCAATATTTTCAAAGCAAAATCTGTTCACGCACTCTTAGTTTTCCGTAAATTGAATAATGAGCGTCTCATTATCTACTTACTACTATTTTTCAGTTATTTGGATCCTAACGGCAAGAAAATTTCGGTGAAATACACTGCCGGTAAAGAGGGTTTCCGGATCCTAGAGGCTAACCATTTACCTGTAGCTCCTCTACCTGTCGCCCCATTACCAGCCCCTCAACAATCAGTCGATCAGCCGCAGCAGTATCAGCAACCGCAGCACTATCAGCGCCCGCAGCTGTACCAGCGACCGCAGCAATATTCGCAGCCGCAGTACAATCAATTCAGGAGATCAGAGCAGGAGGATGATGGGCAATACAGGCCGCAATTGTACGAATCGGAACAGGTAAGAATATACAGGGTGTCAATAATGTAGGTTTACAGAAAATCACTACATTGTCTTCAGAATAAAACGAACTAGCGAACCTACACCTCAGTACAAAGTTGCTTAGTTTGGGGTCTGCAATTTTCAAATCGTTTTCAATATGTGACTTCAAAGTGGCTCATGGAATTTTACTCGAATTCATTGGATATTATTATGAGAAAACGTCACCCACTTCTTCTTCATTCTTCAACGAAAAATTAAATTATTCAAAAAACGTAAAGAAGAGTTCAATCAATAGCTAGTGACATTTAGTTTTGAAAAATTTTTAAAGAAGAGGAATATATGCATATCGAAACAATTTCAAATTTTCACTTAGCTTTAGACGTTTGGGGACGGTTTTCGATATGAATTGGAATTTTTTTTGCAGTCAGTATTCTTTATTGGTTCTATACTAAGTTTTTCTGTTCTGGCTCGAAGTTTGGATGAATAGTCATCAGATTTTTTATTTGTTGAAAACGGTATGTCATTAAACAATATGAAATCGTATTCAATTAGCTAAATAATGTGAGTTTCAACTTCAATGTATGTATAAGTAAAGTTTTCTAGGTATAAAAGACGATATTTTCTCTCTCTGATATTTGATATAATACAATAATAATTGTTCCCACCAAAATATTCATAAATTAAATAAACATAAACATCAAAGACCTGATGGTGATCTATACACAACACTACCCAGACAGCACCAGATATTCCATGAATCTCCCTATCATATTCCTTTTGGAATATTGGAATATTCTAGAAATAATCTGGAATATTCCGGAATATTCTCCAAATATGCGAATGGGAATTTCTCAGATAATCATAGAATATATCCAAAAGAATATTCTATGTTGAATGTTCCTGGAATATTCCAATAAACATATTCTAAAATTAAAAAAAGTGACCCAAGTAGGGATCGAACTCGTGACCTCAAGACTATCAGAGCAACGCCTTGACCACTAGGCCAGTAATCGAATTGAATAATGTTATACATATCAAGTTCTTGTGAGAGAATTGTTAGAAATCGGATCATAAACACTTTTTGTTTCAAAATCCCCTTACATCTAATTGATGTTCGATACTCATATCTCTGAAATAATAAATGGTATTTATGTGTTGAGAAACAAAGGAATATTCATGGAATATTTCATGAATATTCACCACCGAATATTCAGTTGAGAATATTTCATGAATATACCGCACAGAATATTCAGTTAGGTATATTTCATGAATTTACCGCACAGAATATTCAGTTGGGTATATTTCATGAATATACAACAGAGAATATTCAGTTGGGAATATTCCTGGAAGATTAATACCTGAATATTCCCTGAACATGTCCGACTATTCACTTCGGAATATTCTTTTTAGATGTTCCAGTGGCATGTATATATTCTAGGAATAATCGATGAATATTCGGAATATACTCCTCTTTTTTAGCATATTTAGAGAATATTCTATGAATATCCAGTGCTGTCTGGGTATTGCGTCACGTGACACGTTCAATGTAAAGTGCGAAAAATAATACATTCCATTATTTGTTTCAGCTTCAAGGTAGATCTTCCTACCCTAGTCCACTAACTGTTTCACCTACCCCAAGTTCGAATTTACTGGAAGAAAAGGATTACAACGACGAACCTGGTAAAGCCAACAGTTTTGGGAGCGGCTACCTTTTCGAGTTCTCTGGCTGAGATTGAGTCATTATACACTGGGTGATACTGTTATCGATATTCAAAAACGATTCATTAAGAGTGAATTCACTGTAGCCAAAGTGTCCAAGGTACAATAGTCCTTTGATCTATATTCACCTTCATTCGAGAGTCATCTTTACGGGCCATCCTATATTCAGGATGATTTGTTATTTTCCTAGACTGGTTAACTCCTTGCTTGTACTTACCAAATGATTTCGTCTCACAACTTTTACTCTTTCTTTCTTTCTTGAGAAATGCTTGCATGTAAAGGTTCTTTATGAATTCTTCAATTCTTTCCACAGAATTTTAATTCTCTTCCTATCTTCCTATATTCATTATAACAGGTGTGAATAACAATTATTTCATCAGTTTCGTTCAAAAACTATACCTACTAATAATTTGAATTGTGATTGCACTCTTTATTGAAGTTCCCAACGGAATTAATCAAAAATATTGAAGACATCGAAGAACATTTTTTTAACAGAAGGTATGAGAGGAAATAGGACTATACCCTCAGTTCTTACTAAAAAAAGTAAAGAAGGATAAGTGATATGATTCATTATTTCTGATGTGAAGACAAATATTCTAAGGGTCTTACTTCTATCACATTGATGTTTTCAATATTGATTTTTGATATCATTAGTATCACCAATTGTTAGAAAACCTTGTTATCATTTTAATGTGCCTACATAGAGACTGGTTTGGTTGTTATTTAATGAATAGTTAATAGGTGTTCCTACCTATACGTACCTATGATTATTATTGTTATGTAAATATGCATGGTAGAATATTGATTGATGAACAATTTTAATAAACCTTAAATTCTCAACGTTATCATCATTACTTTTTCCTGAATTCAAGGATTTATCCATATATGTACAAACCAACTTAATTTCGTTTTCCTTAGTGATAAGTACATTTTTTGTTGAAAATTGGAAATTCTCTAACTTAGGTAGGTATCACTATACTACTACTGTCACTGCTCGTAGCTGTATCTATATGGAATATTTAATCACTTATTATCAACTGATAGTGTGAACGCGGTTATCAATAGCCACCATTCTCGTCAAGGTTGAATCAATAGAGAATTTCAACTAATAACTTCGAGATCTCAATTCTTGATACAGGCACAGATAAGATAACGGTCAACTGAGTTTGATATTCAGAACTGGAACATGTCTCTAGAAGGCACCTTTTTGTTTATCATTTCGTTGCTAATTCTTGATGGAGGTGAGTTATTATTTGATAGATAAATAGATGATAATTAACGAATCTATACACTACGATTTCAATTAGATTAGTAAAAAAATCAAGATAATAATTCGATATTTTAAGACAATCAACAGTTCTGTGTCTGCAGAAACATGGAATAAGTATATAGCATAGTTTCAGCTTATCACGAAAATAATTGATTAAAAGTATTTTTGACGAATATAATCCAACTAGAAGACGTTATGGAAACTCTTAACAAGAGATATTTTTCGATTTGTAGTACTTTCAAATAACGTTTCTGGCGAAAGACCATTTATAAATACACCTCTTGGAACAATAAGAGGCACTTGGCAGCAGTCTTTCGAAGGTAGGAGGTATGCGTCTTTTGAGGGAATACCCTACGCACAACCACCTATTGGCAATTTGAGATTTGAGGTAAGTAACAATCTATTCTTGGTTTTACAATCATGATTGACAATAACAAATTATAAAAAAATCCATTACATCAGGAAAAAATTTAGGCTATAGGTGGAAACCTATCTAGATTTTTTATAGATTATTTTGTTCACATGTCGAATCTATATCAATGCTTAATTCTAGCCAATCATTTGGTTTCATACTAAAAATTTGTCAGTAGCAAATTACAGCGGTAATTTTTTCACGTTTGGATGTTCGTTTGAAAAAGGGCCCATGCCCTGTTCTAACAAAAATGAGGCAAACCCCGAAATGTGTGGCTGTAAAATATTCGCTTTCGCTGGGCATTTTGCGAAATAGTTGAAAAAATAATCATGCCGAATCACTTTCGTAGTAGTATGATTTCAAAAATAATTTTGACTAGATTAGCACTCATTTTTGTTGCTATTGAGAAATCTCACGAGTGAACGACAAAGATTCGTGCATCTTGTTAAAATTATCAAAAAATTACCACCACTTGTGTGATTACTCTTGATAACTCAGGGGACTCTTTGATCTATGCAAGGATGAATAAAATCTCAAATCATATTTCGTTTAATACTTCTTCACCGTGATTGAATTTATATCAAAATTTAGGATTTAGTTGTAAATGATAAGGTAATAATAATGATTCTGAAGTGTTGTGGAAAACTGAAAATCTAGTCACAATTCCGATTTTTCTAATTGTTGAGTCATTACAGGAACCGAGGCCAATAAAACCTTGGAATGGAATCTGGGAAGCTAGCAAGCTTTATCGTTGTGCACAATACGAAAATGGTTAGAAATAGCACAGTTGGAAAGTTGATGGATGGCACATTTATATATTTTTTCCAGGGGAAGAAGACTGTCTATATATCAATGTGTATATTCCAGAAACAAATCAGAAAGAAAACTTCGATGTGATCGCACACATTCACGGTGGTGGCTTCGTAAGTGGTGGTACAAATGATTTTGTGAATCCCAAATATGTTATGGATGTAGACACAATTTTAGTAACATTCAGTTACAGACTAGGGATATTAGGTAGGTCGTAAAACTATCGATACGATCAAAAAAACATCCAACAGTTACAAAACTTCTGATAGTAGTGCATGAAATTTGATGGTACCAAAGTTTTTCTTTAGGGTTTTTAAGTACGGAAGACGAAGTAGTGCCTGGAAATAATGGTCTGAAAGACCAAACACTGGCTCTTAAATGGATACAAAGCAACATTGCCAGTTTTGGAGGCAATCCCCAGTCGGTGACTCTGACTGGGTTTTCTGCAGGAGCAGCGTCAGTTCATTTCCAATATTTTTCACCAATGAGTGAAGGTTTGTACAAATCAAGACATCATAGTACTGAATCATTATATTTGTTGGAATTAACGAAAATCTATAGATAATGTTAATGTTAGCGTTTCTCCAGATAGTACAGACGTAGACTTCTTGTATCTCCTGAGATTTATTCCTATTCTTCTACCTATAACATTTGCTCTGTGGCACTCCTCATGATTCACCCTGACATTACCAATGAACTCAATGTAAACAACTGAAAGGGATCCTTGTGAACGACGAGTGATGCAAAAAAATTGTTCAGGCAACTTGCAGTGGTTACGAATACCTATATTATATTTCTGTCTTATGTGTGTATGTATGTCTCCCTTCCAGTTGTTTACAATAAATTCAAAGGTCATTACAGAATATTTTCTTGTAGGTTTGTTCAAAAGGGGGTTTTCTCTAAGCGGCACCGCTTTGAATTCCTGGGCCATACAGAGAAATCCCAGATCAAGAGCAGAAACGGTGGCCTCTGCAGTAGGTTGTCCCACAATCGAAACAAAACCCATGGTGGAGTGTTTGAAGACGAGACCAGCTCATCTTCTGATCGATTCTATGAAACACGTTCAACCTCTGGACCAGATGCCTTCCTGCGTGTTCGCCCCAGTCGTGGAGAAGAATTACTCGGGGAACGCTTTTTTAACTGAGCATCCTTATGAAATGCTGAAGAATGGAAAGGTGCTTGACGTGCCGTGGATGGTTTCAGTTACAGAAAATGATGGACTGATATATTTACTTTGTAAGAATAACGTGCGCACATCACATTTATTTTTTTGGGATTATCTCTCCTCGTCACTATAAAATAAAAACTTGAATACCACCTTAATATACGTGTAGTTAGGATAAATCAGATTATTTGCCCCAAAATGTCACTGCGTTTATAGTTATTTATTTTACAAGGGAAAAAAGTAGTAGATTTTAGCTCCAGGTTGTGTTGTCTCCCGACGCGTAGCGGAGGGAGACAAAAAACCGTGAGCTGAAATCTAATATTTTTCCCGTGTATAATACACTATTTTTTTCTGTGACAGGAGAAAGGATGAATCAATATTGAGAAGATATTACATTATTTTGAAATCTGAAAATTATCGACGTGAAATTTTAAGTTTTTAACAATAGGGACACCTGCGTTGTATAGGCATCTTTATCATTCTTTTGAAGTAGGTAATCAAATATCTGATGTCACTTCTGTCAGTCTTATTCTGTGATTTGATTTCAGAAATTGCGAATTTAGTGGTTGATTAGTAATATACGTAATAACCGCGACGTCGAATAAAAGGACTTGCAGTTCTTTCTCGGAGACCGCGGTATTATTACAGTTTAGAGAATATTAAATTCTCTAAACTGTGGTATTATTGACTCATTTTCCGGAACTATAGCACAACAAAAGCCATCAACAGTGTATATATATATATGATATTATATCCGGGAAAAAAGTACTCTCTTTTCTCCTATGTACCTTTATTTTTCTTCCCCAAACCTTTTTCAATACAAATTGTCACTGACAAGCTAGTGCATTTTTCTTTCAGGCTCTCTGATAGGAACATTTTGTAAACGCAGTGAAATTTTGGGGCAAATCGTCCGATTTGTCCTAACTACACGTATATTGAGGTGGTATTCATGTTTTTATTTTATAGTGACGAGGAGAAAATCCCAAAAAAATCTGGAATAATGAATATACCACCTCCTCGATTGACCTACAGACAATTCACATCAATTATTCCTTTCTCGAATTTCGGTTTTTCAAATTGTTGCACAAAAACTAATGTGTATTAAACATCATAGAACATGCATATAGTACCTATTCTTGTTTTACAGTGAATGAGAATAATTTTGATGAAATCAACTCCCAGTGGGAAAAAGTAGCTGATATTATTATGGATTATGAGGGATTGATTCCTGAATCTCATTACGTAGATGCCGCCAAAAGGATTAGAGATTTCTATTTTCCTGATGGAGTCTCGATGTCCAAGGAAAACCTTAATAATTTTGAAAAAGTGAGATATTTTCCTATAAATAACTGAATGTGTTTTCACAGGATTTTTGTTTTTTGCAGATGTTTACTGATTGGATAGTCTTACTACCAGCTGAGAAAGCAATCAGCATGCAGTCGAAAATCACAAACTCGCCAGTATACTATTTCCGTTTGTCATTTTCAGGCCAAAACTCTTTCATAGACACTTTAGGGACCACACTTACTGATATCGAAGGTGATATATTCATAATATGGTTCACCATTGTCTTCATTTGAACAGATTTCGTGACTTAATATTCTCTATACTTTTAGGAACATGTCATGGTGATGATATGATTTATTTCTTTGGAGGAATGATAACTAAGGACCTTTCTGAAAATGAAATACAATTGAAAAATTCCTGTATGAACATGCTGTACTCATATGCCAAAGAAGGGTAAACATCTACCACAGCTATAAGTAACTTTTATCTAACACTCTATTTTATTTTTTAGCCTTCCTGTTTTCGATACTACTCGATTAGATTCTTTGAACAATGAAAATGGGTTATTTTATTATAATATAAGCGGACCTCAGGATATTCGAAAGCAAATGAGAACTCAAAATGCTGCTGTATCACTTTGGACTGATATTATGGGATATTCGAATACACAGAGTACAAAAGAGGAGTTATGATTGCAATTTGAAACTGTGATAGAGAAGTAAAGGATGAATAAAGTGTCTATATTGAGAATTGAAGTATTTTAGTATTCATTATCAAATACAGATTTCAGAGTTTGCAATTGTTCACCATACTGTTGATTTTGGTTTCTAAAATAAAATATAATTAGTTCATTCATGTAATAATATTGCGTAATAAAATTCTATCTATGACTCGTAAACGCACTTTTGAAGATATTTATTCGGGACGGCCTTCTAATTCCTAACTACCTATCATTTTCCATTCATTTCCGTAATAATAATTTGGGGTGTCCCTGCGTTTAATTGTATTAATTATTTTTCTTGCCAGTGATGTACCTTCATTCGCGTTCGAATTTTGAAATTTGGTGGGTACCAAGTGTACCAGATTTCTCATTGATAAAAGAATCAATTGAGAAGATATTATATTTTTAACAGGAGGCATCTTTTTGCTGGCATCTTTATCCTTTTTTTGAAGTAATCAAATATCTGTCAGTTTAATTCTGTGATTTGATTTTGAAAAATTGCGAACTCAGTGGTTGTTTAGTAATTTGAGTAACCGCAAAGTGGAATGAAAGATAAAAAAAAAACTTGCAGTTCTTTCTCGGAGACGGTGTTATTGGCTTATTTTTAGGAACTATAGCACAACAAAAGCCATCAACAGTGTATATTTATATCCGGGAAAAAAGTACTCCCATTTTTCCCGTCTAAAAGAAGTAATTTATGGAAAGTAACATTTTATAACCTGTCAACAGAGAGGAAATGTCAAACTTTTCTCCCGTCATAGAAAAAAATTAAGTTTACTTCGATTTTCATTATTTTCAGTATAGTAATGAACGTACCCTGGCGTTACCACCGATACAACACCTGGGCTACCTAGATCTTGAGTAACATTATCAAAATTCATAGTCCTGTTAGAACATTAAAACTAATAATTGAAAAATTGCTCTTTTTAAATTTTGATCAGAAAAAACTTTCTAGTAGCTATCCGTAAATTGGTTCACTGAATCCAAATATGGAGAAATATACAGGGTGTCCTATATAAAAATCAAAAGTTTGGGTTGCTATTCTGGTTGAACCGAAAATGATTAAATCAAAATTTGTTTTGTTAATAAATGAGGCATTTGGCATAATCTCAAAATACAACCTCGAATTATTCAGAAGTTACAGCACTGGCCATTTTTTGTGCAGATCTTTTATTTGGAATATTCCATCAGCCATCAATTATTAATAATGTATACGATTATTTACCTTCAAGGTTGAATTGATTAACCATTTAAGGAACATTTCAACGAAAAAGTCTTGATGTTGATTTTTGATTTCGGCATAGATAAGAACGGCCAACAGAGGTTTTAATATCCAGATTACATCAGACATGTCTCCAAAAGACATTTTTTTGTTTCTTATCACGTTGATAATTACTGATGAAGGTTAGTTATTTGTATATCTAGAGGAATAGAAAATAATATACACACTGATTCCAATCACAACAGAACAAGAATTCGAAATAATTGAAAATTTTGAAGTAGAGTGAATAGTTTTCTATCTAATGAATTATGTAACAGGGGGAAGCTTTTGTGTGATAACAAAAATATTTCTAACAAGATTAAATTAGTATTTCATATAGAATTAATATTAGGTGGGTGAATATGAAAATCCCACAGGAGAAATTGAAATTTCATTGAAAAAATATTCTCTGGAAGAACAACGATTTAATTAATGTTTGCCGCGAATGAAATCTAACGAGAATCCTGAATAAGACATATTTTACATTTCGTAGCAGCTCTTTCCACTGACGATTCTGGAGAAAGACCACTCATAAATACACCTCTAGGAGCAGTTAAAGGCACTTGGCAGCAGTCTTTTGAAGGTAGGAGGTATGCATCTTTTGAGGGGATACCATACGCACAACCACCTATTGGCAATTTGAGATTTGAGGTAAGTGAAATTTATTCATTAGTCTCCCAACCAAGATTGATCATAACAAATTGTAAGAAAAATCCATCCCATCAGGAAAAAAGAGGTATGAAATCCCAATTCCCAATGAATAATAAGATTTAGTGAGTTTAAATCCGAATCTTGATGAATACTTCTTCACCATGATTTATGAATTCATATCAAGATTGGGGATTCAGTTATGGTTTTTTTCAATAAGATAGGCACCAATCTGAAGTGCTACAAAAAAATCACGTCATCAATCAAGTCCAATTATACTTATTGAGATATTCTTATTATCGAGTCATTACAGGAACCTCTGCCAATAAAACCTTGGACTGGAATTTGGGATGCTAGCAGGCTTTTTCGTTGTACACAATATGGAAATGGTTAGAAGCAACAGAGTTGAAGAACTGATTGGTGACAATTTTTTTTTTTTCAGGGGAAGAAGATTGTCTATATATTAATGTATATATTCCAGAAATGAATAAGAAAGAAAAACTTGATGTGATTGTACACATACACGGTGGTGGCTTCATAATGGGTGGCACAAATGATTTTGTGAATCCCAAATATGTTATGGACATAGACGCAATTTTTGTAACATTCACCTACAGACTAGGAATATTCGGTAGGTCGCAAAAATATCAGATATTGCTTGAATACGATTCAAAAAAATTCAAAAATTTCGGTGCGTATCAACTTCTCCTTTAGGGTTTTTATGTACTGAAGACGAAGTAGTGCCTGGCAATAATGGTCTGAAAGACCAAACACTGGCTCTCAAATGGATACAAAGCAACATTGCCAGTTTTGGAGGAAATCCCGAGTTGGTGACTCTGACTGGATTTTCGGCAGGAGCAGTGTCTGTTCATCTACAATATTTTTCACCAATGAATGAAGGTTTGTACAAACCAAGACATTTTAGTACTGAATCATTATGTTCATCAGAATTTACTCAATTCTGAATATAACTTAGATAATGTTAGCGTTCCTCCAACTCGTTTTTATTTCCTCTACCTACCATTCGGCTAATTACTCTGTATATTATCGAATATTATTTTGTAGGTTTCTTCAAAAGGGGTTTTTCGCTAAGCGGCACAGCTTTGAATTCTTGGGCCATACAGAGAAATCCCAGATCTAAAGCAGAAACGGTGGCCTCTGCAGTAGGTTGTCCTACCATCGAGACAAAAAGCATGGTGGAGTGTTTGAAGACGAAGCCAGCTACTCTCCTGATCGATTCTATGAAAAGTCTTCAACCTCTGGACAGGATTCCATTTTGCTTGTTCGGCCCAGTCGTGGAAAAGAATAACTCGGCGAACGCTTTTTTACCTGAGCATCCCTATGAAATGCTCAAGAATGGAAAGGTGCTTGACATACCGTGGATGACTTCAGTTACGGAAAACGATGGACTGTTTTATTTACACTGTAAGTGTAAGAAGGTTCACATCACAAATTATCATTTTTGCGGACGACACTAGTGAATTTTACATACTATTATCTCTTCCAAATTTTCGTTGAATTCGTTGGGTATATACCATGATAGCGAAATGTCCAGAAACCACTTCTCAACTGCTAGGTATGTTTCAGTCAATATTACCTATAAAAACTCGATAAAAATCGAAATATGATTGCAGTTCGAAAATATATTCCATCCTAAACTGACCTGAACATGATAACACATTTCGATTCGGTTTCGTTGGTCGTGAAACAGCTTAATGTAGGTAATTTGACTGATGAAATTGAAATTTGAAGACTGGTATAATTTTTTGAACTCAAATTCAATTTCGTCTCTTCGCACCCTCTAATATAAGTACCACCTATATCGATTTAATTATTTGAGAACATCATAAAACATATACCTACTCTTGTTTTACAGTCATCGAAAATAATTATGAACAAATCAACTCCCAGTGGGAAGAAGTAGCTGATCTTATTATGGATTATAACGGGATAATTCCTGAATCTCAGTACGCAGATGCTGCAAGAAGGATTAGAGATTTTTATTTTCCTGAGGGAGTCTCAATGTCGAAGGAGAACTATTACAATTTTGAAAAAGTGAGAAACATTTTCATATGAATAACTGGATCTTCCAAAGTGTTTATAATTTTTGCAGATGTTCACTGATTGGATAATTTTACTACCAGCTGAGCAAGCAGTGAGCATGCATTCAAAAATCACGAACACATCTGTATATTATTTCCGCCTGTCTTATTTAGGCCAAAACTCTTTCAAAGACTTCTTTAGGTCCACACTACCGGATATTGAAGGTGATATATATATTTATATGGTTCAACATATCGTTTCTATCGAACAGATTTTGTGAATTATACAGGGTGATTCAAAAGTAAGCGGCATCCTTTCAGGAGCGTTTTCCTTGCATGAAAATAAGGCAAAAAGTTCTCATCAATTAGGGTCCGGAAATGCTTCCTAAGGAAGCTACGCCCTTTGAATAGGACACCTCAGACGATTTTTTCTCTATAACTTCAAAATCATTCACAATGAATTTTCGAAATATGGTGTACGGCATAAACATTTAATGGTACAGAAGACTGAATTCGAAATTTCAAAATTTTCTTCAGTGGCGTCACATGCGGGAAAGGGTAAGTGTAAAAACATATCCCTTCTTCTTTTGATATTCAAGTTATTGTGATTTACGCAAATCAGAAAGTTTTCAAAGTCGATTTTCTCCTAAATGGTATGTTCTATCAAAATGAACTAAGAGAACTTTTTATACGTGAATACGTGAATGTTATAATTTCCAAACAAAATCACAATAACTTTAATATCAAAAGAAGAAGGGATGTTTTTACACTTACTCTTCCCCGCATATGATGCCACTGAAGAAAATTTTGAAATTTCGAATTCAGAGTCTTATGTACCATCGAATGTTCATGCCGTACACCATATTTCGAAAATTAATTGGGTAGGATTTCGAAGTTATAGAAAAAAAATGTCTTTGAGGTGTCATATTCAAAGGGGTGTAGCTCCCTGCTTAGGAAGCATTTTCGGACCCTTATTAATAGGAACTATTTGCCTTATTTTCATGCAAGGAAAACGCTCCTGAAAGGATGCCGCTTACTTTTGAATCACCCTGTATATTCTCTATATACTTCCAGGAACATGTCATGGTGATGATCTGGTTTATTTCTTTGGAGGAATGATAACTAAGAACCTTTCTGAAAATGAAATACAAATGAAAAATTCCTGTTTGAACATGTTGCACTCATATGCCGAAGAAGGGTAAGTAAAGATTTACTATAACTATACTGTAGGTGTGATTATTATTTGACTAAATTTTTAGGCATCCTGTTTTCCATAATACCAAATTGGATGCTATAAACAATGAGAATGAATTTTCCTTTTATAATATAACCGGACCACAGGATATTCAGAAGCAAATAAGAACTCAAAATGCTGCTATATCACTTTGGACTGATATCATGGGATATTCGAATGCATAGTGTAAAATAGGAGTTTGAATTTGTAATAAGAAAGTTAGATGTTTTTGAAGTGATAACTTCTATAGGCCCGTTAGGCACTTTCGTGGATGAGAGTAAACCGACAAACTCGCGTCACGGAAGCGCGCGCACCATAAGTCCGGCATAGTAACGGCTGTGTTCTCGAGTCTTCCAAAGCTAATAATACCTACATAGATTTTAGTAGACCAACTTTCATAACAACTAGAATTATGAAATTCTGGAGACAAAACATGATCGAAAGATTTTCAATTAGTATTGTTCAGGTGGAGTTTGGTGATATTTAATTGGAATATTTTTTAAGGATTCATGTATTATTGTGGAGACCATAATCGCTTCTTAACATCATTTTGATCTTTACTCAAAAGATATTTGACATTTAATTCTTAATAAATCAGATATATAAACACCCTCATGATTATTAATAATTGTTGAATCTTAATTCCTATTGTTGAAATTTAATTGAATCTATACAACATTAATTCATACTTTCTCTGGAGATGTCTGGAGGAATGATAACTAAGGAGATATGAATATAATAGAAATATAATAAAAATAATGAAGGTAAATAATTCATTCTTTCACTTTTTCCTAACCTAACCTCATCGATATGCTACTTATTTTGGAAACATAGCCTAGGAGAGTAATGAGTGATGATGGAAATCATAATTCCATCCTCAATTCCATCATTGATCAACTACTACCCCAATGCACCCCAATGACTCGATGCCATGCAAGATCATGCATGCACGTCATCATCGAATATGAGACGTTCCGAACTCGGAGTTCACGGACGACAGCTAAGATATGACAGCTAAATATCTAGACTGTCTGACGTCAGACAAATAAGACTGTGCCGGTTTATGTCACTCTCACTATGGCCCTTTGCTCTAAAAGACTATTTCATCCAAATATTTTTTTGTTATTGTTGACAGTTCAATCACTTCAATCAATCAATCTCAATAAAAAAATAACATATTTTTCAGTATTATGCTTATTCGAAAATGGTTGAATTGTGTGTATTATGTTTGAAGTCGACAAGCACTGAAGCTAATAAAAAAAAATCCAAGCTTCTGATAGATCTCCTGGAAATGTTGTCTTTAGATTCTGTAAGAATGAACCCCCTGATGGAAATCTTCTATACACAATCATATTCGATATTCACATCTTCCCTTTATGTTTCAGTGGTGGAATACAGCTAACAGTAGTTGTCCTACATTGTGCAATAATTGTATGGCCATAGTTGTGAAAGCATTAGATTTCAAAACTAATTGTTTAGAAACAGAGAAAACTTTATCACCTTATGTGAAGGGGAATGCCAAGGTTGATTTGTGCAGTGTTTATTTGAAAAAAATGAGACGTGAGGGTGAACCACGCCTTTGGGAAATAATGAGAATATGTAGAGTCTGCATCAGATTGATAAACAACTTTGAGTGCTATCTTCTAGACTTCCTGGAACAGAATCACTTGGAGGATATATTCAAGAAATATATTCCAGAAATGGTTGGTCTTGAATTGACAGCTACAGGAATGTATACTTTGACTTTGTGTTTCAGGAACCCAGTAAATTTGAAGAACCCCTAATTTGCCAGCAGTGTATAGACAATTTCAAAAATTTTTCTGACTTCATAACTTCTTGCATAGACACCAAAAACAAAATCAAGAAATATTGTGATGCATCACACATTTCTACAACTAAACAAGTTGATTTGAAAGATGTGCTGAGACATTCCATGAAGGATATATTGGGAGGTGATGTTTGTTATAAGCTGAAGAAAATAGACAGGAACAACTCTCTCAATGAACCACTTTTACTAATAAGTCATATCAAAGAAGAATATGATACAGATACTGAAGTGGATGTTGAGAGTGTTGATATTCTGAGGTAATTAATCAATCTGGCTTGTTATTCTTGTAATTAACAAGTTATTCTCTTTCAGTGAGCCTTCAGAAGATCAGTCAGAAACTAGAGAGAATGAGCCAATCCAAAAGTTTAATCACTTCAATTTTTTTACCTTGACTGAGAATAAGATCAAGAATTGTAACCACTGTGACTACAAAACTTCCTGTAAATGGAAGATAACAAGACATGCCAGAGTAAACCATGGGCATCTATATAATTTCCCAGTCTTCCATTGTGACAAGTGTAATTACAAATCAACAGAGAAGGATTATCTGAAACGCCATTATTTAACACATTCTGATTCAAGCCAAGATCCTAGCACTAAATACTCTAAAACTGACTTATACCACTGTGAAAAATGCACATTCAAAACTCTCAGAAAAGACATCTACAAGCAGCATCTTTTGACTCATATGGATTCTAAAGATGTGCCATCATATGAGTGCAAAATCTGCAGTTTCAGCACAAAATACAAATCTGGATTGAAGCAACACATGAAGACTCACATGGATCGCAGCAGAATAGCAATTTTCAAGTGCCATATAGGGGGCTGCAATTATTCCACAATTGAAAAGAGCTATCTCAAAAAACACATAAAGAGACATAAGACACCATGTCTGGATAAGGTGGACACCTTGTATTGCCATCAATGCCCTTTTAAAACTGAGTACAAGAAACACATGAGGTCACATGCTCAACTCCATGTGAATGGCCAAATAGATAGGAGCATCCTGAGATGTGAACATAACTACTGTAAATACAAAACTAGGATGGAGGAGAATATGGATGAACATTATGAAAAAGAACATGGTGCAAAGTCCTAAATTGTACAAAAATAATCCTCTGCAATAAACATTATTTGTTAATTTTGAGACAAGATTTCTTTTTAAATCACATTTAAAACTGACTATGAAATTCAAGAATTATATCATTGCCTCTCTTTTCAAGTTGCTGAACTATCTATGAATATCCTTTCTGAAGCAGGAATATCATTATAACTTTGAATCCAGCCCTGAATCTTCAATCTAGAATATATTGTGCATTACTGATCTCTACCCTTTGCTACTCAACAAAAAGTAGTTGCTCATAGATACTGCCACCTACTGAATGGAATTTCTTGCTCCATTGCTTTCATGAGGATTTTCATCTTGTTTTGGAGAAGGGGTTATACACTCACCAACAAAATAAACCGGCCACCAAAAAATCTGCCCAAATTGTTCAGCCTGTAACTTTTTCAATCCTTGTCAGATTTTTGTGAAATTTCGATCAAATTGTAGATTCATGTTCCGGGATATTAGCCTAAATATCAGTTTTCCTGAAAAGCTGATGACTTGATCATTATAAAGGGAAAAATCAAAGTTACTCTTTCACCCTATACTTCCCAACGCCCTGTGGCAAAATTGGGTGATTGAACATGGCTACATTATGCTTCGGATTGAAGTGTGATCCCTTCTCAACACAAAAGTTTTTGATTCACGTCAATATCTTATTTTTAAAAGAAGATACGAGTGTTTTAAGGAAGTATGGCGTTTTTCAACCTTTTTCACCAATAATCAGAATTTACATGAACTTATTGATCAACAACTTCAAGGATTGATATCACATATTTCTACCTTACTTTCTTAGCACTTACCGGAAAATCAATTACAAAAAACAAACAAGAAGCAGACCTGTAGTCAATAACGAGTATGCTCTCCTCGATATTGAATTACAGCATTCAACCGAAGTGGCATCGAATTGATCAAATTACTCAAGTAGACTTGAAGAATTGCCTAAGATCCTCCTTGAATGGCGAATCGTAGCTCTTGAAGAGTATCTGACATGGCTGGGCGAAGGCGAATGACCCTCTAGAGGTCACCCCTAAGATAGGTAAATAGGTTCTGAATTATTGTTATTGAAAATTAAAAATATATATACTTCCTTGAAACACTTGTACCTTCTCTCAAAAAGGAGATATTGACGTTATACAAGAACAGTTGTATGAAGAAAGAACAAAAGAGGAAAATGCAAAATTTGCGAGTCAAACAAAGTCACTTTTGATCCGAATGAAACATGCTATTTTTTCTGCAACCGAAAGAACTGAAATAAATATGTGACGTAACCACCAATGCCGTGCCATATGTATACAATACAAGAAATAATATATGAGAATATCTACTGTAGAAGTCCATATGTTATCTCAAAGTGGAGTGGAACTCAAAACCAAAATCGGACCAGAATTGAGAAAAATTACAGAGCAAACAATTTGGCTAAATTATTTGGTGGCCGGTTTTTTTTGCCGGTGAGTGTATATAATTTGATAGAAAGAAATTCACTATTACCCTTGATTATATACTTACAGACCTTTATTCACAGATTTGTGATTGGGGTCTCAATCCAGATTTTTTTCCACACTCTGTATGATGGACATCAATTCATGGATCACAGCAGAATAATTAATTATGGGGTAAATAATTTGAAGTGAAAAATTTTTCAGCTTTTGTGTATTATTTAATTTAATTTACTGTATGTATAAACCTTCCACAAGTATATTTCCAGTTCAATATAGTGGTACTCATCATTACTAGACACTTGATGTTATGAATACTTCACATGACTTATTGAAGAAAAAGTAATAGTGGAAACATCAGAAAAAAGTGTGTTCACAAAATAAATATACAAATTATGACACAAAATTCATTCAATGGGAATTTCATACTAATTCTAATGATTTGTCTCTAACGTCATCAGGATTGAAGAGTTTGCCGCCCCCAATTCAGTTAACTTTAACTTTTTATTTTGAAAATAACAATGAATATAACCTAAGATCATAAACCACATATAGCCATGGTACATTTATAGCAGCAACAGCATCATTCTAATTAATTTAGTGACGAGCAGAACAGAATAACAATTTGCCCTATATTTGATTGTCTTTATTACCCCAAGAAACATTTTTGTTTATGATAGGGATACATAAATACATTATTGTGTCTTATAAGATTAAAGTTATATTTCATTCCTAAGTAATCAAATCTTGCCACATATTTTTCTTTCAAATTGTCCTGAGCAAGTATTTTTTAAGATTGATTTTAAACCTTCTTGCATCATGTATATTTTTTAACTCATTCGGTAATGAATTGTATAAAATTATTCCATTGTGAAAAACAGATTGTTTGCCAATGTTTGACTTGAATGTATTTGCTATCAAGTAATTCAATTGTCTAGTTCCATAACTATGGACTGTATTGACTTCATTGAAAGCTAAATTCGATATTTTCAATTTATTCCTGACAAAATGAATAAAGCAACATATTTTAAGTTTATATAATGAAGTGATACTTAAATTCGAAATTATTCCCTAATTAATGAATACTTTCATGTAAACTGATGTCAAAAATTGAGGATATTATCAAACGCAAAAGACGGATATTATAATAGCTACACTCCATTTTTTCTAGCAAAATGTCTTCATAGCAAAAAGACAATATCCCTAACTTTTTTCTATCAGTTTAGATAACCTCATTCAGAAAACCACTGCCACTGAATTTTTTCATGACAGATAAAAATCGTGAAAAAAACTATAGGGTGATATCTTGTTCTGCAAGAAACCACCGACTTATCCATTAGGAAGAGGGGCGGATTAAGCAGGCGATGTTTGAGAAAGGGGGCCATTGAAAGTCACGGCTCATTAAGTTTAGCAAGAAAGAGAAATTTCCATTGGTACCTTCTGAGGTCCTACCTAACTTTTCACATATGAGGTTCGCGAGGAGGGGGGATGGCCCTTATGCCCCCCTCCCTGGATCCGCTCCTGGTTAGGTATGCCCCTGGAAAATTTCGATCAATTCGAATTGGTCCGGTAAATGTCTGATAATTGTACGAACAAACCTCGAAAACATTGTATAATTTGGATGAAGCGATTTCGATTCGGAACAGAAACATTTTTAGATCTATGTTCATATCAATTTTGTTCAATCTACTGCTGAGCACTGAGCAGAGCCTCTTCTAGGCTTGTCACTACAACTTCAAAACACCCAACACTATTTCTTCCTAGTTGAATCAAATAGAGTTCCTTAATGAATTCATTTTGCAACTTTTGATTTGACGTTTTCGTATACACATAATAAACTACTCGACAGTATCGTTGGCCTTCTCCAGCACGGCTCTGCTGTACGCCAGGTCCCAATAGAAAGGCAAGCAAAAAAGGTTATTTTTGTAGAAAAAAAAATTTTTTTGTACAGTTTTAATCAATTAATTGTGGAGGCTGAGTTTGGTAAGGGAGTTTTATTCTGGTCCACTAATAGCATAGCGTCAGCCCACTGTAATCATTTGTATAGTGATTAGGCTTTCAAAGATGTTCTTTCTTCCTCAAGACCCCGAGGTTCTTGTTAATAATTCTTAAATAAGTTTCTCAACGAGCGAATGCACATGCGTCCATGATGAATCACGTGATTCACCGTGACCAATCTGACCATGAGGTTTGGGAATGGTTCGAAAACTTTAGGCTTTCGTCCCATCACCCATCACAGTTTGATGATTTTGTGATGTTTTTTGTGTCGCCCCGCCACTTAGCCCCACCATTTAAGCCCCGTAACTCGTATGGACAAAGGTAATTGAACAAAAATGTCACTGTAACGTCACAGGTTTTCAAAGCATAGAAAACGTCACAAAAACTGCACAAGAACGTAAAAACTACGTTGCATTAGGCAGGTATTCCAGTTAAGAATAAAGCATGGGTGAGAGATAGGGGTTGATTGGGATCGAAAACCAAAAATTTTGTATTTTCAGAAGGTTTATCTGAATGATCAATAAAAACCACGAAAAAACAATAGGGTCATGTCTTCCTGCATTTTCCACTGTCACTTTCTAGTCAAATCAATTTCAACGTCCTTAATATATAGGTAGTTGCAACTTTTGCTGTGACGTTTTCCCCCCGAAAATAAACTACTCGACAGTATCGTTGGCCTGCTCTAAAACCGCCCCGCTGTACGCCAAATCCCAATAATGCTCCGCCTTGTGCTTCTTGAAGTGCTCCCTGGCGAGCCGCTCCGTGGGGCACACCTTGAACTTCACCTCGCCGAAGTGCCGTTGCTTCGAAGTACCCTCCCACACCAGCACGCACTTGTTGGGCACTTGGAGGCCGTCTGGGTCGCGGACCGTGTCCTCCTCCCATTTGATGCGTTGCAACATCAACCTGACCGACAAGTTGGAAATAATAGATCAGTTCAGCTACCGTTGAGAGAGAAAAAAAATGTCTTCCCCATCTGTCCTTGTCTTCAGTGTTCCAACATAAAATAATGAAAATATTATTTTGGCATCATTGGAAATGGGAAAAAATGGAGAAGAATATCATATTAACCTCGATATAAAAGAAGGTTAGAACGGTCTTCTTCTCCATTTCTTCTCATTTCTTCTCATTTCCAGTGTTGGCAACATAAGATTTTCATTATTTCATGTTGGAACACTGAAGACAAGGACAGATGGGAAGACATTTTTTTTCTCTCTCAACGGTAGCTGAACTGCTCTATTGGAATCCATTCATTTTTCATGCTCAAAGAAAACATTTCTCCCATATAAGAAGAAGTCCAAAACTTATCCCAAATATAGCAAATACCGTTCTATACTCTCATATCCTTAGTAAAATCAGGTAAAATGAACTATCTTAAATATTTGGGGTTCATGTTCCAAGAATAATTTTAACAAAATATCTGTACTATACAGTGTCATTCATAAATTCGGCATCATATGGGAAAAACTTTTCTTAATGAGTCATTTTGAAATTCGAGTTGGACGTTAAGTTTTGCTTCAAAAAAGATGAAAAATGGCCTACTCAATCGGGGTCACGTGACTTTCGCTACATGTCAAAAGTGACATTTTTTCAAATTAATCGCTGAAAGGTGGCTTATTTGTTCGAATATCGAAAAAGTTCACTTGAAAAAGTTGTTTCTATTTGAATTTTACATATGTGTCTCGGATTTTATCTTTCTATTACATTTTTTAGATTTCGATATTTTTTGGAAATTTTCGAAATTTCTGTAATATTAAAAAAATTGTAAATTCGATAAAACTACTCCATACCAGTAGTTTCATCATGCTACTAACTTTCAATTACTAATTATCACTAATTATCGACAAAAATATAATTTTCTTCAGAAAATGATAATCTCCGCTTCAAAGTTCTGTTATGTTTGATGCAAACATAACATCAAAATTATGTTATGTTTGAGTCAAGCATTTACAAACGAAATTTATTTATTTTACTTGGTTCTTTGGGATTTTCTCTCCTCGTTTCTATAAAATAAAAGTATTCGTATTATTTCAATATATTTGTAGAGGGACAAATCAGATGATTTGCCCCAAAATGTCACTGCGTTTAACAAATTTTTCTATCAGGGAGTCTAAAAGAAAAATCCAGTAGCTTGTCAGTGACAATTTGTTTGAAAAAATTTTTGAAGGAAAGAAATATAGATATATTGAAAAAATATCGAATTTGTACTTATCTTTGTCCCTCTACAAATATATTGAAATAATACGAATACTTTTATTTTATAGAAACGAGGAGAGAAAATCCCAAAGAACCAAGTAAAATGAATGTACCACCTCCTCGATTAACCTACAGACAGTATTTTTGAAATTTATTTAAATTAATTTTTTTAGTACTAAAAAGATCAGTTTAAATGAATTTCGTTTCTAAATGCTTGACGATATATCAACTTTGCATCAAACATAACAGAATTTGGAGGCGGGAATTATCATTTTCTGAAGAAAATCATATTTCTGTCCATAATCAGTGATAATAAGTAATTGAAAGTAAGTAGCATGGAAAAGCTACTGGTATGAAGTAGTTTCGTGGAATTAACAATTCTTCAAATATTAACAGAAATTTCGAAAAATTAAAAAAAATCAAAATCTAAAAGTTGCAATAGAAAGATCAAATTCGAGAAGCATGTGTGAAATTGAAATAGAAACAATATTTTCAAGTAAACTTTTTCGATATTCGAACAAATAAGCCTACTTTCAGCGATTAATTTGAAAAAATGTCACTTTTTACATGTAGCGAAAGTCACGTGACCCCGATTGAATAGGCCATTTTTCATCTTTTTTGAAGCAAAACTCAACGTTCAACTCGAATTCCAAAATAAGTCATTAATAAAAGTTTTTCCCATATGATGCCGACTTTATGAATGACACTGTATAAAAAAAGCAGCCATCAAATCAACTTTATGAAGAAACAAATACATTTTCTTTGGAAGAGCACTAACTGATAAATACTCTCAAAATTTCTTTTGATATTATCAACTCGATTATCAACAAACACCTCAAATCTAACTTCATATTGGTAAGGAATTCTCAAATCCATGAACATCATATGAGACAATATAACTTGTTTCATCTTGATGCTGTTAATTCTACACTGGTCAAAAAAATTTCACTCACGGAGCTATCTCAAAATTCAATAAATTACCTGACGATATCAAAAGTTGCACAAATATCACCCAATTCAAAATTAAAGACAGCAAACATATCCTCTTGCAAAGAGAAAATCAAACCTGAGTGAATGATTTCTCATTCACTAATTCATTTCATAATGTCATAATGTACTTTTCGTGAGCTTTTAGTTCTATTATTATTATTTTTGAATCTGTTGTTAATTTCAATAACTTAGATTTAATGACGCATGAATAGTCTCCAACCAGATATGAATCTGTCTGATTATTCATGTTATTTCATTGTAAATCTTAATGATAGTTATTTATTATTTAACCAACTAGTGTATTAATCGCCTTTTAATATACAAGTTGGTTACAACATTTTTTTCGTCGACTACATTTCTCATTTCTCCTGCAATGAAGAAAACTTGGTTCGCGAATTCATCATTCATATGGAAACTGCTAAGAATCACCCAGTAGCCTTATTACTGACATTAGTGACATTAGACATTTGTCAAAATGATCAACATAGAAAATAAATTCCTTGTGTTAGAAAACAGGGATTGAAATCGTGTCAGAAACTTGGAAAGGCGAACCCGTTAACGGAAAATCTTCCATGAAATCCATATTTTCAATTTAAATGCAGATTTCATGAGTTATAGCATAAACAATGAATGCACGCGGTGTATGTTTGGTTGCCTACAACACAATCGTGCATTCATAGACAAATCGTTCATTAATAGGGGTCATTAATGAACGATTTCATATACATTAAACTTAGTCGTTAATACGAGGTCGACGGAAAATATTATTATTATCATTATTATTATTTCTCTCATCCACTCTCATTTACAATATCTGACTGACTGTGATATGGTATCCATTCCTTGATTATTTACAATTCACACTAACAAGATGAACCATCCTTATGAGAGCAATGAAGTCAGAAAATCTATTCAGTAGTGATTTTCTTGCTTCAGAAAGGATATTCCCAGATAGTTCAGCAACTTGCAGATAGATGGACTCAAGCAGATTCCGAGACTAGAGTCATAGCAAGGTAATATTGCGCCTCGCTCGCTGCTCTCTCGGCGCGAGAAACTGAAAATTTCAGGCCGATCCTGAGAAGAAACATAATTGAAATAGCGAATCACTATCGGCCTAACCAATAAATGCTTCCACAGTATTTTTTCGATTGATTACTTCGAAAAAAAAAAAAAAAAGATTAGCTGGAGTAGGGATCGAACCCCGGTCTTTCCGCTCGGATGAAGGAACACTACTCTAATGACGACCTCGCTTCTGGCAAAACAAACTACAAAACAATTTTATACGCTCTTGATTTGCCACCGTGGCAATATTCCCGGTATAGTGGTGCTATGGCTAGGCTCTAATGATTCCGAGAGCATAGACAAATCGACCTTATTTTGCTGAGTTTCGCTAGCGCCTCTTCAGTCAAGAACTGAGGCAAAAGGCTAGAAACACTTTACAGGGAGGTGGATCATCTTGTTAGTGTAAAAAAATCCAGAATTATATCCTCATTTCAGATGTGAAGTTATATATTTTCTAATTATGATTCCTTCCACTGAATCAATAGAATTAACAATGACAATGTTACACATCTACAACTTTTAGTGGATAAGCAAAGAAACCAATACTTTTGGCAAATATACCTACTGAATAAAATGTATGAGATGAAATACATGTTCAATTGATTCACTTACCTCTTGTATTTTTTTTGCTGTTTTGGCCCTCCCTCTACAACGACGACGCAACAGTCTGGATACAAAACCACACAGCCCGTCATGAAAAGTTGTTTGGCGTTCGTCTCGATCTTGAATTTTTTCGAAGCTAATTCGTGCAAATCTCTGATTCTGTAGACAGCAACATGTGCACCTGAAATAAAAATAAAAATGGTTTCATCAAAAATGTTCCTATCCTTGAACAGCCATTCATTTTCTATTTATTATTTATACTTATTTATGCTAATATCATTTATACTTAATTACTCATCATGAGTGCCGAGGGAGGGAATATTATATTAGGCTTTGAACTTTCAGCCTGACAATTTTATTTATAGTTGTATAAAGGTTTTTATTTTGAATCAAGCTTGACATAAAAAAATATCTTCCACTTCGCCACTCAATTCCTTGATAAGTCAGAACTTTGATCCAGCATTTATCTTCACAGTAATTTTTTTTTCAATCATCAGGAACACTCACCCAACGTAGTGTCCTCCTTCAATTTCTTGATCTTCTTATCCCGCTTCTGATCCGCCGTTAACTTCCTGGAAGCGTTCGCCTCTTCGTGCGCCCGTTGTCTCTTGGCCATCTGCTCTCTGACGTGCGCCTCAACCTTTATAACGATAATAATAATAATAATGTAGAAATGTTAGGAAAGGGGAAATCATCATCATATTCATAAAGGAAATTAGAACACATCTGGAAAATTCAACTGTATAATATCAATATTGATTAATGTTATCTTCATGTCATTTATGGCCCACTCTGTGTAAGTTGATGGCATGAAAATTCTCCTGGAATATCACGCATCTGCCCATCAAATGGTACGATTATATCCTCTTAAATTTCATAACTGCCAAGACAGTGATTTTTTCTGGTATGCATCTGCAGATGACATGACAAAAAAATTCATAACTTTGATATGATGGAGATATAGTCAATGATATAATAGGGGTGGATGGAGGTCACAAGAATGCTTAAAAAATGTGCAATATCGAAATTCCATTTAAAAAGTGCCTTCAACTCTCTAACTTTTTTTCTGAATGCGCTGTATATGCGGCAAACATTTCTAGTTATGGACCTTATTGTGTCATTCAAATTTGTTTTTGAATCATGTTTTTTGCTATCATAGAACGTGGCCCAACGCATTATTGCCCCACCCTGTATAGATAGGCAGAGTGTTGGAATAGAATATCTCGCCAATAACTGCTTTCATTCTTCATTTAAAAGTGCCATGAAATATTCAACCTACAGTATTGGTTACTTATCATAATATCATGCCTGCTTTTTCCAAATAGCTTCATATCTTCCTATCAATCAATTATTATAGAGCAGTTCGGCTGGCATTGAGAGAGAAATAAAATGTCTTCCCTATCTGTCCTAGAGTATCTGTCCTTGCCTTCAGTCTTCCAACATAATGAAAATTTTATGTTGGCAACACTGGAAATGAGAAGAAATGGAGCAGAAGACCATTCTAACCTTTTTTATATTGAGGTTATGATCTCCATTTTTCCCATTTCCAAGGTTACCAACATAAAATGTCCATTACTTCACGTTGGAACACTGAAGGCAAGGACAGATCGGGAAGACATTTTTTTCTCTAACAATAGTCTCAATGCTAGCTGAACTGCTCTATTGATTATACCTATGTAGCTCAAGAAGATTGTTCACCCTATATTCCTCATGTTCCGATATTGCTGACATTACTGGTCACAGTAAGCAATTTAGGAACACTAAACAGTAGCAGTAGTTTTGAATTTTCATTTCATTTCGGAACGATTTTGGCAGTAGTACACAGGCAGCAAAACATAACCATATTCGATTATCGAATTTCTAGGTTAGTTTTTTTCTCATACAAATTAAAAAAATTATTCGTTCGAGGTTTTTTCATCTCGTCTTTACTCACGTTGAAATTATGGATGCAGCAGTAAATCATATTTTCTTAGAAGGAATATTATCCGATAGTGATTCTGATTCATCAGAAACACTAAGCTCTACTACCTCAAGTCTCAAGTTCCAGTGAGGAACAAATGGATGATTCTCTGAATGCTATCATTATCGTGAACTAGAGGACCTGTCGAGAGAATTCCTAGAATTGAGAATTATATTGAAAATGTTATTTTGCATTACACTCCAGACATTTTCAGACAACATTTTAGGTACTGAGCAAGGCATTTTCAGGCAATGCAGTGTTTTCAAAGTTATACTTTCAGAGTGTTTCCTGATACATTTCATTTCCTGGTGGGGTGTTTGAGGAAAAAAATAGGATCCAGATGGGCCAGGAAGATTCCAAATTCCTTTAGAACATCAAATTCTATTTGCCTTGTGGTATATGGCAACACCAGACTCCTATTATACCTATTTGATATCAAAAGTGGGAATAACAAACCATCTTGAAGATTAGTAGCAGTTTCTGCGTCTACTTCCACTGTGAGATCTTCCAGTTCGACCTCATACATTCTTCCAAAGTATTTGAAAATAATAATTTATTTTTCATTAACTCTAACCAGATCTTGAACATAACCTAACATTTCATGAATACTGGCACTACATCACCATTTCTGCTCCAGTAGCCAACAGTAAACTTTTAGCCTCTAACAGGGTTTCTTGCTATATCCCGCGAAAACGTTGCCAGTAAATTTCAGTAAAATCGGAACGATAAAATATACTGGGCAGTACTGTTCGGGAATATCGGAACATGCTAATTGTTCCAAGTCATTGTATTTTGCCTCAAATTCACGTCATTGTTGTTTGAGAATGTAGGATTACATAATTATAACCTCTTGTAGAAGTATGAAATGTTTAAAACATCAACGAGGTGATGATAGTCGATAGTCGCAAAAAATTAGAAGCTGAAAACTTCAACCTAAAATTGAGAAACAAACAAATGAGCTACTAACATTTTGCAGTAAACCAGCGCCACTGACGGGCAGACATATTTTGGGTCAGGGAATAGCCTGCTATGTTTTCATTTAGAATACCAATGGTTTAGCGAAACCCGGCATCTAAACCTGGACAAATTGAACAATAAAATAATTGAAAATTCCATCTGCAGATCATTCATGACTGAACGATCGGCTCTCCTTTTCCCTTACCTTGGTCGGATCCTGCACGGCCTCAGTGCCCAGCGCCCGCATCAGATTGGAGATGCGCAGTTTCGGCTCCGGGGGCGGTTCCAGCCCCAGCCGGATCTTCTCCTGCTCCTCCTTCCACGCCTCGCGTCTGTTCTGCCTGCGCAGCTTCTTGCGCTCCTTTTGCGTGAGGAACACCGGCATGTACACGGCTTTGATCGGGTCGGCTAGGAAAACATAGATAAACAAGGTTCATTCCACCACTCGTCCTAAATACCCACTATTACCTACTCCTTTTCAAGCTATGAACAATGATGGAAATAGAGAAATCACTCGACCGCCTACTATGATTTTTCTACGTCACATCGAGCGAGACGTTGATGCTGCTATTCGCGAAAATCACAAACCAATAGATGGCTCTATTAAACGTCAAATCAACGTCAAATTCCCAACTGAGTATGAACAACAAAAACATTGCCGTATGCACTCATTGCAAATTGGTTATTTCCAAATCATTTTGCAAAATAGTGAATAATAAGTTGACTTCTTGAAATACGTACAAGGTTTCCAGTATGAGAAAAATTACTTTTTGTGCAGAGAAATTGCCATTTTGATGTGGACAATGGTGGTATTCATCATTGATATCACACTACAATTCCACAGTTTTCAAACATATGGAATGGTTGGAATGGTCCACTCAACACTTGCATGGACTGGAATGGAACCATACAAGCAATCAGCTATTACAACAATATGGTATAGGTATGAAGAAATAATTGAATTCATCAAGAAATATCACTGGCTTTTATGAAGGAGATGGAAATCTAGTAAAGGGGTTGGAAAAGAAGATATGGTTGGAGAGGCTGCTCAGAATGAACAATATCATCGATTTACATAAACAAGGATCTCCAACAATTGAGGACTTGAAGTTATTCTCAAGATCGAATCATTGCATCCAACATTTATACAATGATTCTAATTGTGCTTCAGAAAATGTATATTATATTATTATAAGGTAGGTACTGGTTTCTTCATTGTAAACAATAAAAGTTCATGCAATAATTCCAGTTTTTTCATCAGGAAGAAATGAGGTTCTGGAATATGCACTTCAACAAATAAATTATTTTCCAATAAAACACATATTTATGAAATTCAAAACAATGGTCGCCATATTTGTTGTTCATACTCGCAAGACTTGTACAGTTAGCCACCAGAGGCCGCACACTTCGTGATTTTCGCGAATTGCTCTTGTGACGAATGGAAAAAAATGGCAAATGGCATTTTCAGGTACGCGGAACATATATGTAACAGTGGGTTTATTCAACTCTGCATTCGAAAAATCTGTGGCAATTTGAAAATTGACAGATGTCATGATTGTACAATGCCGCCATGTATCCGAAAACCGCTAAAAACATTGTTCTTGGGACTCTCGGGAGGTCGCGAAGAATTTCTGAGACAAAAGCGCATCAGTGAGTACACCATCTACTTATTTCCATCATTCTATGAACTAATAATTCCTCACTAAGTGTTACACGAGCTCAACTTATGCATTAAATTCATACAGAGAAGTGCACAAGAAACGGCCAGGGTTGTAGCTTTTGAATAATTCTAGATAGGGTTTTGAAAATTGGTGGGTAGCAAATACCAAATTGCTCATTAATTGATGAAACAATTTTTTTTCTATCACTTCCAGTTTCACCGGAAACGACCCCAACTTTTGATTTTTAAATGGGACACCCTGTATTGTATTCCACAATCGGTTAGGGATGATCATGACGATTCAAAGATACCGGGCTTGAATAAGGTTATTTCAAATGATTACAAATATATTTGCATTGGAAGTTTCCATATGTTCAATGGGGGTTCAATATCAAAACTTCTTTTTCTGTCACACTCATTGAGCATATGGAAACTCAGAACGTAACGTAATCGTTTGAAATAACCCTATCAAACCTGGTGGCGATAAATTTGTTATGACAATCCCTAACCGATTATGGAATACAATTCAGGGTGTCCCATTTAAAAACCAAAAGTTGGGGTCGTTTCCAGTAAAACCGGAAGTGATAGAACAAAAATTGTTTGGTCAATTAATGAGCACTTTGGTATACTAGCTGCCCACCAATTTTCAGAACCATATCTCGAATAATTCAAAAGTTACAGTCCTGGCCGTTTTTTGTGCACTTCTCTGTATCATGCCCTCGATTATCTGTCCATGATTCCGCAGTTTTCCCCCACCGCCTTCGCCATTTATTCAAGTTAGTTTCTTCATTTTATCAACTAGTAGTTCGAAGAGACATTATTATTCTGAATTCAACGACCCCAACATCAGTCAAAATGTGGAAGACGATAAATGCAAAGTAAACTGAAATGCTAAAAGCAAATAACACCGTTGAAGTTAGAGGTCATATCAATCGTTCTTTATTAATTTACAAAATTTATTCACTCACTCCTTAGTTGAATAAATTCCCTGTAGATGACATCCGAGAGATTACTACTTACTTGGACACCTCATTTGAGTGGGATGCTCCACTAATGTATTGATAGAGCTTTCCTTTATCGCTATCTTTTCATCGATCATGGTATCCAAATTATCCACCAATATGACCGAGTCCCACCATTCCATGTGCGGGATTTCATCGCTGTGTCCTTCGGTTTTGGCGATGAGCGCTAATTTCGTAGCTGAGGATATGCCCGTCTTTTTCGCTATTTGAGAAATCTCGTTTTGAAGCTTCTCGAGTTGAGCCTTGAAGAAAACATTCAGATATTTGTACGTGCCTCCATTTCAGCTGGTGATGAATTGTCCAAAACAAAAAGGGAATATTTTACGTTATCTTTGAATGATGAATGGTTCATCATAGTCAATTTCACTAATACTATGAAATGTATATGTTGCAGTTCTACAAAAATCTGTGAATACCGTCACAGAAGGCAACATTAATTTGAATGAAATATATGGTTCCATACTTATTTATTGTGATAATTGAGTGATTTGCAAAGAAACGCTAGTGGAAAGAATAAACGTAATCAAGTGAAAACCCAAAAAAATTAGAGGAAGAAAAGTCTGTAGGATGTTTATGCAAGATAAATCTGAATCTAAGATGAACCGACTTACCGATCTACTATTTATGATAGGTAATACTTGAGTTTTGTTGCAAATAAACACTAGTGAAGATGCCAAATTATCCCATGAAAACTCAAAAAAAGAAGAAACATAAAAAATTAACATTTATAATGGTTATTTATAGTCACTGCAGTTGTTGAAAATAACAGAATATTTTCCGAAAATTGCATGATATTATTCATAATGTAAGTTTTGTTTAAATCCTTTTCCGAGACCAACACTTTTGTTGCTTTGGATAATTCAATGTTCATTGTAATACAGACTACTGTAGGCTCTAATTTGCATGTTCAATTTTGTCAAGAACGCATTATATTGGAAATCAACAGACATACATATTATAATATGCAGATGATACAGCATTAATATCACATCAGCGAACCAAAACTACCGCCATTCAACAACTCCAACAATTAACAAACCAAATCCATATTTGGTTCAACAAATGGAGACTTCAAATCAACCCTCTGAAAACGGAAATGATAATTTTCAATCATACCCCATCCATCAATTCTCCCACCATCATTATCAATAATCATCAGATTCATCCGCGCTCCACTGCGAAATATTTGGGTATCCATCTTGACCATAAGCTGAATTTCAATCACCACACAGCAATGGCAAAAAATAAAGTTAAAGCAAGAGCAAAGCATTTCAAATCTTCAACATATAGAGACCATGGCATCAACATCAGCACTGCAAGTAGAATATACAAATCAATCTGCAGACCAATATTAGAATATGGCCACCCACTATATCTGAACATTAGAAACCCAGCAATGAAGAACCTGCAAATCGCTGAAACCTCCGCACTTCAAACCATCACTAGAATGCCTCACCCAGACAATGTGTTACACAACCCACCCAATGATCTGCTATATTCCACGACCAAGATACAGGAAAGACTACCAACACTGTCTAAAAATTTGCCTCCAAACCCGAGAACATGAATCTGATGACTCCACTGATAATGGAAAGGACCAATGTTAGACCGAGAAACAAATTTCCAGAAAAGTCTCTGATAACGATACTCCATGATCTAACTGAAATCCCATAGATTTTATCACTTACCTGAAATCACCTTGTTTCTTTTTAACAACAACTGTTTTCACTTTTCAATCCACTCAAAGGCGATAACATTTCAAAAAGAGATAAGACCATATTGGCTGAAGGACTCTGGTCGATGGCCACTTAATTGTATTGTATATTTGTGTACATTTACATATATGATCAATAAAGTACTTTATTATTATTATTGGAATAAAGTACTTATCGCAAGAAATTTGTTACCTTCATCCGCAGCCTCTCGGCCAGCTGCTGGAACTTGCCCGGCTCGTGGAAGCGCAGCGCCCGTCTGGTGCGCAACGCCGGCTTCACCCCGATGCGCGGATCGACGAATCGCAGCTCGCCGCTCTCCTCGCTCTGCCTTTCCGCGCCTGCGCCCTTGAACTGCTCGCGCTTGAGGGCGCGCAGGTTCGCCTTCAGCGTGGGCGCCACCTGCGTCAGCTGGATGGCCTTGCCTGCAACAGGTGGCCACCGTCAGGGGTCGGGGTTAAGTAAGGTCCTTCATTATTCACACACACAACATGTTGAACCATCCTTATATGAGAGCAATGAAGCCGGATATTCAGTAGGGGGCGGTATTTTGTTTGTTAGCATTACACATATTGATGTTCTGTGCATGGTAACTACACACCACTAATTTGACGCCGGTTCACCTAATTGTATTTGTTTATGTATCATGTATAAGTACAATTCTTTGAATAAAGCTATTTATCTATCTATCTATCTATCTATTTAGGAGCGACTACACCTTTTTCAATTGTAATTCAGATTAGTGAAATGTAAGTAAAAAAGTGTAATTTGTAATTCAGAATAATTAATTGTAATTCAGAAAGCGTCAATTGTAATTCAGATTAGTCAATTGTAATTCAGAATGCAAAACATGTGATTCATAAATACTATGGACTTGAATGAGGGTAGTGAATAGAAATCAAGGAATGGTTCATTGTGTGGTGAACATCAATATTTTATATTTATCGACCAACGGGCATATCTTGAAATGCCAGAGCTGCAGCATGGTGAATGGTGGTGTGTTGTGCAGCCCTGGCACAATCATCTCCAACAATTGTATCTTTGGCCTGGTCAATATTCTGTTCTACATAGATCCAGACATAGACAAACAAGTCGTTGTTTTCCAACACCCGGACCTCAAGGAGATTGGATGCATAGCGGTTGTTCCTAGTTTCTGAATAATAAGTGATACTTTATGAATTACAAGTTATGCTTTCTGAATTACAATTGACGGTTTCTGAATTACATTTCACTATTCTGAATTACAAGTTACACTTGCTGAATTACATTTCACTAATCTGAATTACATATAACGCTTTCTGAATTACAATTAACTAATCTGAATTTCAAGTTATACATTCTGAATTACAATTAACTATTCTGAATTACTTATACTTTCTGAATTACAATTGAAAAAGGTGTAGAGTTGCTAAATGTACGTGAAGAGTACAGGGAAAAAACGGCATCAGTCCATTTTGAGCTCACACTTAATTTTCCTGGAATTTTTTTATATGTTCTGGTTCCCACGAAAAGGGATATCCTGTAATGTTCAGACATTCAGAGAACATCGTGAGAACTAAGGGACATAAGGCAGGAATTGGTGTTCTTCTTAAATTTATGGAGGTTATATGCCTCGGGGAACACTTCCCTTGTTCGTTGGATGAACGAGTCTTTGGAAAGAGATGTTCTGCAGGTCTCCAAAGTGACCAAGAAGGCAAAGCCTCAACTCGACGGGTTAATCTCGCGGGGACTGCCAAGGGAGGAACAATTGTTGATATTTCAGAAGAGCATCGTCCATGAAAATATCTATAAAATAGAGCCAGATCGCCAACTTGTCTACGGTGTTCCAGAGAAGTGAGTGAGTTTGTGAGCGAGGCATCACCCACGAGAATTGCACTAGAACTTTTGTAGACATTTTTGATGAATACCATCTTAATAAAAGTGCAAAGAATTGTGATCGAAAAATTATTCAGGAAAAAATAATGAGTATCATGAGTTTTGAATTCTTTTAAATACCAGTGATTTTCGATTTGTCGTTTTGCACGCGTTTTGTGTCTAGTCCTCTGTACTTCTCCATACTTGGCTTCATCACAATGAAAAACAATATACCTTTCCATATAAACATTATAAGATATGGGTATAAAAACTAAAACCCATCCAGACATGTCTAGTGGTCAGTGAAGATATCGCTAATAGGGATCGTAGGGATCCGATTTTCGGGACCAAATTTAATTCTTTTTTCGTAATCCCATACTGTAATTTTGATTTAATGGTATTCAGATGACAATTGAGTTAATGTTAACAGCCTCCGTCCGTTAAGATTGTTCAACGACCGGCGGCCGTTAGCTGTTCCATAACAACACGATGTTGGGATTTTTTTTGTAGAATTACGAGGTACATGGTTTGTTCTTACCTGAGAATCAAAATGTAATCTCCCAGCGGGAAGTCTTGAACGACACACGGCCGATCCGTTAATAACTGATTGGGTTGTTATATTATTCAACCTCATCCCTTATTTCCTACATATCTGCCTTGTAACTTTATAACATTAACAGGTGTTTACCAAATATAGTTGTTGAGCTAGAGCTAGGGGTTTAATCATAACAAAAATATTGTTCTTAGGTACAGTACTCCTAGCTAGATGATGAGTGTTATGAGTATGAGGATCTAAGAGAATATGTTTATACAAAAAAGGAACAGAAGTTCAAGAGAAGTCAAGTACTACAAGGATTCCTTGCAGAAAATATAAATAAATTTCCAAATCCGAATTTTTGTTCAAAAAAATTGAGAAAAAAAGATCATTTATCATTTGATTGTTCTACACAATATGAAGCTTGGTGAATATGACAGTAATGCAATGTTGCCAACAAATGCATTGACATTAAGGTGATCAAGTGGTCTAATGATACATCCTTATAACTTCTCTATGGATGTATTAAATTGAGACATCAAGGGTGTTTACTCTTATCTTGAAAGAGAGAAACAAAGAATTTAGTATTGCAACCTCAGTATTGTATAAACCCAATTTTTAACTATGCCTTGAGTATAGATAGTAATGAAATTTGCCCATATTGACCTATCTAGGGAAAAATATTTATATTTTGGAAATGAGTCATCAAAATTAATTAGGTACCCACCAGAATATGCCATCATATCTTGATAGTCTACTGGTCATTATTAGAAAAATATCAGAATAATGATTCATATCTAACTGCTTCATTTTTTTTTCTACAACAGACTGATTTATTACTGTTACAATATGCAGGATGTTTTATTTTCGTCAAGATAACTAAAAACTATGTGAGCACATCATTATTACTATACTTAATGTATGTAATTTTAGATTCAGTATTCAAACTTTGATTACTATGAATGAGCTCTCAGAGCAAATTTCTGCCTCTAGGTAAAAGATACAATATAATTTATATTATAAGAATTCAGCCCCTATGACATTTCTCATGCATTTATAAGTTTTCTTCGAGGTTTTCTTATGCATCATATTCTGATAAAGATTGCAACTTGAAATGAGTTTCAATGGATTTCTGGATTTTATGTTAGATAAACTGATGGAAAAGAGTTAATGATATTGTCTTTTTGCTATGAAGATATTTTTCTCTGATATCTATGTTTGAATAAGTTAAGGAAATTGCCTTTTTGCTATGATGACATTTTTCTAGAAAATATGTGATATCACTGATATCTATATCAATTTTTTTCATCAGTTTGGATGATGCAAAATTGCAAAATTTTGAACAAGAATGCATAGTCATGTGATATGGGCTTTACAGAGAGAATAACTTACCTTGAAGAAGTTATATTTGCTTGATTGCCTCACTTTTTAGTTATCTTGCACTATTAAAGAAATATTTGAAAACCTACACTTGTCTCCTAATGTGTCCAAGCCAACTGACTTCTGGATTTCCATCAAACATTTCTGGACATCCTGTATACAATTGATTATAATAAGTGGAACTTTCACAAATTACATTCTTTACTTACCCGTTTTATCTACAGTTCTGCCTTCTTCATCAAGAATGAGTGGGGCAGGTTTGTTTGCTAGTATAGGCATTTGGATTACATTTCCCAAAATTCCAGTTGACAGTTTGTTTTTAATTTGGGCTTGCAGCTGAGCTATTTTCCTAGCTTTATCAGCATCCCCTTTGTTCAAAAGCCCCATAGGTATTCCATATATACTTGGAGTAGGAATGTTCAAGTTTGCTATACTGACATTCTTGTTATTAGCATTTTCCAGTGTTTTCTTTTCGAATTCACTAAGTTTGGGCTTAGTTTTATCAGGTTCTTTATCAAACCTGGACTCATTTTTGGAACGTTTGGAATTCTTATCTCTTTCTCGTTCATCTTCATGAGTTCTTTTTTTAGAAGATCGATGGGAACTTCTGTAATCTTCTACCAAATCTGTAATTTTTTCGGCTAGTCGACTAGCTTTCTTACTATCCAAATACACCCCTAATTTGTCAGCTATCTTTTTCCTGTCATAACCACTGCTTATGCAGTCAGCAGCAGTCCTTGTGACTGAAGAGTCACTACTACCTAGGGCTTTGTAAACTAACTTGTCTAGAGAGGGCTTCAGTTCATCTACATCTCTTCTGGATAAAGACATAATTAAAAAATTGATAGAAAATAAACAAATGTGTGTTGAAAATGGATTCACAAACTTTTCGTTTTCATTTGCGTCACACAAACGTTGACCATTTAGGTTAGGTGACCTTCTACTCTACTTCTTCTGATTCTTCATCACTCATTATTTTTCTTCTTTGTTTTTCGTTTGTTCTTCATCTTCTATGTGTTTTTGATATGGTGCATGGGCATTGGCCAGGAGCAGAAAGCAAGATTATCAAGTGGTTTGTGCACGTTTGTGGATAAGGTAAAGGAAGCGGAAACGAATAATTCGTTATTGTGAATTGTGTTCCATTCTGTCTATGAGAAATTTAATTTCCTTTTGGAGGAGTTCAGTTGGGGTTTTCGATTTTTTTTCTCAAATAATTGTTGCAATTCACAATTTTCTATTTGGTGAACTTGGCCAACAGTATGTAGTGCTTCTGTAGTGTTATTATAATAGTCCCCTTCTAGATGTAAGCAGTCAGTATTCATGCATTGGTGATGGTAAGTTTCATTTTCAGATATTTCCAGTAGATATAGTAGGGGCAGCAATTTTATATATCTAAAATATTCGCTTTCTGGCTAGTTTCATAAAAATAGTACCTATAGAAGTATTGCTCCACCCTGGCCCTTACCATCTTCAAATGTTGATACACACTTGAATGCTGATGGAGTTGGCATCATAGTCCAATTCTGAACATTGCACCCACCAAAATGAATCCTTATTTATTTCTTGAGTTAAGTACCTATATACTGTTGAAGTTATAGGTATATACTGCTCCTCTAAAGTCTTCTCTAATATTCATATATGATTCTACAGGTATATGATGAAAGGAATATAAGAACAGTTTAAAAAACAAATCTAAATCTATTGATCTATACCTATTATTGATACATTTTTGTTCACTATTTTGATTAATTCTGAATATAAAAAGCAATCCCTTCCAGCAGGTTTACATATTTCCCTATGGTCCAGTGGAACATCACATTTTATTCCTATATTTGGATCTGAAACACAAAACATGAGCACACATGATTCTAAGAAATAAATGCATATATTTACCAGCAGAATCATAGGCTACGATTTTTATATAGATGAAAGACATCAGTGTGAAGGCAGTTTCTATGAAACTGAAGATATCAATCTGCAAATCTTCTTTTTCAATTACATCAAGAAATTTTTTGTGAAGATCCAACACAAAATCACAATCTGGAAAAGCATAAATCTCAGTTAGTATTCAGACTCTGCTGTGATATATAGGAAATCTTGGAAATAATTGAATAGGTACCCACTTTTTTGTACTTCCAATACTTCTATACTTCTTCTTAATAATGGGAAGGCACAGTCTGCCAGAGTAGACCCTCTGTGTGGTACACTGTACCACATAATACCCTTGGACTGTCTGAATATATCCTTGAAATTGTCTTCATTGTTTTCCCAAGCTAAAAAATGGAATCCAATTGGAAAGGGCATGATTTCATGTAGGACTTTTTACCATTTATCATTATTTGCTTGATGAAAAGTCCTCCTTTTGAATGACCTACCCATACAATTGGCCTCTTCCCCACATTTATTTTCACTAGTTCTTGGAGCATTTCTTGACTTCTTGCCACCAAACCAGTTCTACAAATAAAGAATCCAATGATAATTTTCATTTGTTCATTAATATTCTGCTGTTCATTTTACAGGTTACCTATACCAATGAGAAGTGGTGAGTACATTTTTCATTTCATCTACTTGTATATTCCAAATTATCAACTATTATAAAATCAAGTCAGGAAAACCTGGGGACATTTCCTGAAGTTTTAACTTACTCTTTTTGATACATAATATACAAATGAACATGATTGTAATGAAAGGTAAATGTTCAGTTTTATCCTTTTATGAAATTTTTCTGAAAATTCTAAGGATAAGCTATAGCACATATCAGGAACATTGGCAATTCCTGATTTTTCATGGGAATATTGATTCTGGGGAGTTCTTTCATGTGATACCTACCTTTTTCTTTTCTTCAACCAGGTAGGGCACCAAAGTACATCAGTAGAATAATTCACAGCTATCACTCTGGCATTGGGACAATCTTTTGGTATCCAATCTCTGGGCCAACACTCACTATATTCCTCGGAGTTTGCCGTGTTTTCTTCGGTTTCCAAATTTTTCTCTCGCAGATTATCGAAATTTCGGTGTTTCCTGGCTATCTTTTTCGGGATCTTGGAGTACATGCCGCTAAGAGTGCGTTTTAGGGAACGATCGGTAGGGGGTACAAAAAGATCGCCTGTGGATGGTCGTCTCACTGGTGATTGATTGATGAGTTTGTGACTTTGTGTTCTCCAAGTGCCTGCGAGGAAAAAATAAAAAAGTAAGTGAGTACTATTGAATACTGAACATGAAAATAGTAGATTCAAGATCAATTAATGAAAACATCCTGTAACTCATTTGTAGACTAAAATCACTCATTCATATGCCAACATCAGTATGACACTGAAAAGTGTCAAACTATAAGCAGCACAACTTTCAAAGAGGAAAACGTTCAAAGATGAGAATAAATTCGATATTTTTTCGAAAAAATTGTCACTGACAAGCTACTGAATTTTTCTTTTAGGTTCCCTGACAAAAAATTTGTTAATTGCAGTGACATTTTTTATTTTATAGAAACGAGGTAATAAAATCCCAAAAACTCAAGTGAACTAAGTACTATTGCTTTCAGATTTAAATCACCTAGAACTCTTGCCGAATTAAGAACGTTTGGACAAAAATACCATGATCCATTTAACGTTTTTGCAATTTCTTTGTACTTCACATAATGAAAATGTGAGAGATATAAGAATCTTTGAAAATGAGCATTCATCCAGTTCACAAATAAAGTATTTGGTAAAATATGAACACAAAACAATTGATACAATCACTCAGTCACTCAATCTGAGTGGATTAGTTTGAATGCTTAAATTAAAAAATAATTGATAAAATTTGAAGAACACAAAAAATACACAGAATTATTTCATCAAACTGAAGAATACAAAAGCTAACTAAAGGAAGCTGATTTAAGAATACAAACGGTTCTATAAAGGTAATGTGATGTATGTTGCATAAATTTGCGGTGACTACACATTCTATGGCCTACGAAGTCTTGAGTGATTATTAAAAAAAAATCAAACATTTGTACTATTACCATGAGAAGATTGAAAATGTGTTTTCTCGAAGAATTGGATGGATTGGGACACATAAAGATAGCTCAAGAGAATCAAGATATATAATACGGAGGTAAATCTTGGGATCAATAAATGTTATCATTATTATTATTATTATTAATGTTGACAATATAAATAAGATATCACCAAGGAGGAGGAGGAGTTTTATCAGTATAATACCGAATGATCAGCTAGATTCACGCATTGGTTGTATGTGACAGCGCCCTATACTTTGTTTAGAGGTCACTAGATGGCAATAACATAACTAGTTCATCCATTGCTATTTGTTGGTAACTGTGTGAATCAAGCACCTGTCAATGAGTGGGTTTTTGTTCAATTGTTTTAGAAGTGTAATACGACAATAATTGTATGAATTGTGTTAATTAAAATTTAGGGGAAGAATATGGTGAATTGCATCGTCCTGCTGTCAGGAAAATTCTCAACGTAGCGAAAATACTCGAAGAAAACTGGAAACATTGGAGAAGGAGTGATGCCTGTGTGTTTAAATGGCTGCCATTGGCGCATTTCAACGCGTTGAAAAATTTCGCATCAAAACTAACATTTCACACCCTAAAAACACCTGCTCATTGATGTTTACCCTTCACCTTGCTTCCAAGTCCTGTCGATCCCTCCGTGCAATCCATGAATGAAAATCACATCCACCAAAACATCCCCTTCCGGTTGCGACAACACCACGCACTCCACACACCTCTCCGCAACATCCTCCCCACCACTGTCCAAGATAGCCGCTTGGCCCCGCCCACATTCCTCCCCACCATCGTCGATGAACGCCCGACTCCGCCCATCTTCGTCCTTGGCGATGCGCAAGGTCATCGGCAGCGACATCTTCTGGACGGAGGCCAGGGACTTGGAGACGTTGTTGGCGAGGAAGGCGACCAAGGTCGGGAGGATCTGGTGGCGCACGTTACTGAGGACGGTCTGTGGGGGGTTCCTGAGGATGGCGTAGTAGAAGGTCGAGACGGGGGGTAGGAGGACACGAGCCAGGACGTCGATGGCCAGCCAGAGTTTGCTAGAATCGATCAATGAGTCAACCAATCAATACTGTGTGCTTTATTGTCCAAGAATAATAGTTGACAAAGCATGGTTTAACATTATTCTAGTGGATTCCCACTGGGTCCAGTAGGAAGTAATAAAATAATATGTATATACAGCGTGTCTCACTTTAAACCAAATTTGGACCGGTATGAATAGCCATCGATATGATCAGTTTCCCAGAGACAAAACATCCTTTTGGACAGTGCCGTTTTATTGAAATGAATATGGGTCGATTTATATGAAATTATAATCGAATTTTTTTTGCAAGAAAACTAACTTCATATTATATTGTTTCATCGAACCTCCATATGCGAAAAATCACCTCTTTCCGTATTAACAGGATTGGCTTATTTCTTTTTTCATTTTCAAACTCGAAAAGATAGTGATGAATTCAAAATAACTGCAAATTTTGGAACGTTCGATAGGTGGCAAAATATTTTTTTCCTGATTGTCCTAAAAATCCCAAACAATTCATAGACACTAATTCAGACCCATAAAGAAAGAATTTGATGTCAGATTTGATGGATAACTCTTCCTTCAGATTTTCAAAATCAGCGGTTCAAGCAATGCAGTAGGCTCATATAGGTGGAAAAATATTTTTTTCCTGATTGCCCTAAAGATCCCAAAAAAATTATAGACACAAATTCAGACCCATAAAGAAAGAATTCGATGTCAGATTTGATGGATAACTCTTCCTTTAGATTTTCAAAATCAGCGGTTCAAGCAATGCAGTAGGCTCTTATAGGTGGAAAAATATTTTTTTCCCGATTGCCCTAAAAATCCCAAAAAATTCATATACACTAATTCAGACCCATAAAGAAAGAATTTGATGTCAGATTTGATGGATAACTCTTCCTTCAGATTTTCAAAATCAGCGGTTCAAGCAATGCAGTAGGCTCTTATAGGTGGAAAAATATTTCTTTCCTGATTGCCCTAAAGATCCCGAAAAAATTATAGACACAAATTCAGACCCATAAACAAAGAATTTGATGTCAGATTTGATGGATAACTCTTCCTTTAGATTTTCAAAATCAGCGGTTCAAGCAATGCAGTAGGCTCGTATAGGTGGAAAAATATTTTTTTCCTGATTGCCCTAAAAATCCCAAAAAATTCATATACACTAATTCAGACCCATGAACAAAGAATTTGATGTCAGATTTGATGGATAACCCTTTCTTTAGATTTTCGAATTCAGCGGTTCAAGCGATGCAGTAGGCTCATATAGGTGGAAAAATATTTTTTTCCTGATTGCCCTAAAAATCCCAAAAAAATTATAGACACTAATTCAGACTCGTAAAGAAAGAATTTGATGTCAGATTTGATGGATAACCCTTCCTTTAGATTTTCAAAATCAGCGGTTCAAGCAATGCAGTATAGGTGGAAAAATATTTTTTTCCTGATTGTCCTAAAAATCCCAAAAAATTCATATACACTAATTCAGATCCATGAAGAACGAATTTGATGTCAGATTCGATAGATAACTCTCCCTTTAGATTTTCAAAATCAGCGGTTCAAGCAATGCAGTAGGCTCATATAGGTGGAAAAACATTTTTTTCCTGATTGCCCTAAAAATCCCAAAAAATCCATATACACTAATTCAGACCCATAAAGAAAGAATTTGATGTCAGATTTGATGGATAACTCTTCCTTCAGATTTTCAAAATCAGCGGTTCAAGCAATGCAGTAGGCTCATATAGGTGGAAAAATATTTTTTTCCTGATTGCCCTAAAGATCCCAAAAAAATTATAGACACTAATTCAGACCCATAAAGAAAGAATTCGATGTCAGATTTGATGGATAACCCTTTCTTTAGATTTTCAAAATCAGCGGTTCAAGCAATGCAGTAGGCTCATATAGGTGGAAAAATATTTTTTTCCTGATTGCCCTAAAGATCCCAAAAAAATTATAGACACTAATTCAGACCCATAAAGAAAGAATTTGATGTCAGATTTGATGGATAACTCTTCCTTTAGATTTTCAAAATCAGCGGTTCAAGCAATGCAGTAGGCTCATATAGGTGGAAAAATATTTTTTTCCTGATTGCCCTAAAAATCCCAAAAAAATCATATACACTAATTCAGACCCATAAAGGAAGAATTTGATGTCAGATTTGATGGATAACTCTTCCTTCAGATTTTCAAAATCAGCGGTTCAAGCAATGCAGTAGGCTCATATAGGTGGAAACATATTTTTTTCCTGATTGCCCTAAAGATCCCAAAAAAATTATAGACACTAATTCAGACCCATAAAGAAAGAATTTGATGTCAGATTTGATGGATAACTCTTCCTTCAGATTTTCAAAATCAGCGGTTCAAGCAATGCTGTAGGCTCATATAGGTGGAAAAATATTTTTTTCCTGATTGCCCTAAAAATCCCAAAAAATTCATATACACTAATTCAGACCCATAAAGAAAGAATTTGATGTCAGATTTGATAGATAACTTTCCCTTTAGATTTTCAAAATCAGCGGTTCAAGCAATGCAGTAGGCTCATATAGGTGGAAAAATATTTTTTTCCTGATTGCCCTAAAAATCCCAAAAAATTCATATACACTAATTCAGACCCATAAAGAAAGAATTTGATGTCAGATTTGATGGATAACCCTTTCTTAAGATTTTCAAAATCAGCGGTTCAAGCAATGCAGTAGGCTCATATAGGTGGAAAAATATTTTTTTCCTGATTGCCCTAAGGATCCCAAAAAAATTATAGACACTAATTTAGACCCATAAAGGAAGAATTTGATGTCAGATTTGATGGATTACCCTTTCTTTAGATTTTCAAAATCAGCGGTTCAAGCAAAGCAGTAGGCTCATATAGGTGGAAAAATATTTTTTTCCTGATTGCCCTAAAAATCCCAAAAAAATCATATACACTAATTCAGACCCATAAAGAAAGAATTTGATGTCAGATTTGATGGATAACTCTTCCTTCAGATTTTCAAAATCAGCGGTTCAAGCAATCATAGATTACAATGCAGTAGGCTCATATAGGTGGAAAAATATTTTTTTCCTGATTGCCCTAAAATTCCCAAAAAATTCATAAACACTTATTCAGACCCATGAAGAAAGAATTTGATGTCAGATTTGATGGATAACTCTTCCTTCAGATTTTCAAAATCAGCGGTTCAAGCAATCATAGATTACAATGCAGTAGGCTCATATAGGTGGAAAAATATTTTTTTCCTGATTGCCCTAAAATTCCCAAAAAATTCATAAACACTAATTCAGACCCATGAAGAAAGAATTTGATGTCAGATTTGATGAATAACTCTTCCTTCAGATTTTCAAAATCAGCGGTTCAAGCAATGCAGTAGGCTCATATAGGTGGAAAAATATTTTTTTCCTGATTGCCCTAAAGATCCCAAAAAAATTATAGACACTAATTCAGACCCATAAAGAAAGAATTTGATGTCAGATTTGATGAATAACTCTTCCTTCAGATTTTCAAAATCAGCGGTTCAAGCAATCATAGATTACAATGCAGTAGGCTCATATAGGTGGAAAAATATTTTTTTCCTGATTGCCCTAAAAATCCCAAAAAATTCATAGACACTAATTCAGACCCATGAAGAGAGAATTTGATGTCAGATTTGATGAATAACTCTTCCTTCAGATTTTCAAAATCAGCGGTTCAAGCAATGCAGTAGGCTCATATAGGTGGAAACATATTTTTTTCCTGATTGCCCTAAAAATCCCAAAAAATTCATAGACACTAATTCAGACCCATGAAGAAAGAATTTGATGTCAGATTTGATGAATAACTCTTCCTTCAGATTTTCAAAATCAGCGGTTCAAGCAATGCAGTAGGCTCATATAGGTGGAAAAATATTTTTTTCCTGATTGCCCTAAAGATCCCAAAAAAATTATAGACACTAATTCAGACCCATAAAGAAAGAATTAGAGGTCAGATTCGATAAAAAACTCTCCCTTCAGATTTTCAAAATCAGCGGTTCAAGCAATGCAGTAGGCTCATATAGGTGGAAAAATATTTTTTTCCTGATTGCCCTAAAGATCCCAAAAAAATTATAGACACTAATTCAGACCCATAAAGAAAGAATTTGATGTCAGATTTGATGGATAACTCTTCCTTTAGATTTTCGAAATCAGCGGTTCAAGCAATGCAGTAGGCTCATATAGGTGGAAAAATATTTTTTTCCTGATTGCCCTAAAAATCCCAAAAAATTCATAGACACTAATTCAGACCCGTAAAGAACGAAATTGATGTCAGATTTGATGGATAACTCTTCCTTTAGATTTTCAAAATCAGCGGTTCAAGCAATGCAGTAGGCTCATATTATAGGTGGAAAAATATTTTTTTCCTGAATGCCCTAAAAATCCCGAAAAATTCATAGGCACTAATTCAGACCCATAAAGAATGAATTTGATGTCAGATTTGATAGATAACTCTCCCTCTTGATTTTCAAAATCAGCGGTTCAAGCAATGCAGTAGGCTCATCAATAGCTCCGGTAGGTAGAAATTCATGATTTGAAAGAAAAGACAAAATATATACTATTTTATGATGAATTCACCTCGGAATTCACCGTTTCGGAGTAATTCATTATTACATCTATAAAAATGTTGATTAGATCTGCCTGTTTTTTCGAAACTCTCCATAGGAATCGTATGACAATTAACATATATTATGGGGGTCAGTTTTTCTGTAAAAAAATTCCTAAGAACATGGAACATTCTACCAAAAACCTCAAAGACCTTCCATTTTTCCATCGACAATGTTGCAGAATCTTAAGAGTGTATGTGATCTGAAAGCTTCATAAAAAAGTAAAAGTTACTAAAATTAACGTGTTGAAATTTCATAAAAAGATCGCTAATAACATTTAGCAAACACAGCAGTTTACTTTTTGAATAGTACTCTGCAATAATAGTCTAAATTGAGAATTCAACTCATTTTGAACATGCCTTGTTGAGTTTTCTTGGCAAAAATGTATCGATGTAAAACAATTTTTTGCCATTCACTATTGAAGCTCGATTATTATTTATAACTCATATGAATTTTTACTTACCTTGTGGGGACTACCAAATACGGAGTTTCGTTGTTGAATTGCACATTAAACTCCGAAGTTAATATGCATTGGTCACACATGATGTCTTCTACGTCTGCCATTTTCACCGTTAGATCCGAAGTTAGATCCCTGCAAAATGAGCAGTTATTATTTATTTACATAGGTCTGGCATTTATTTGCATTTTAGCGATAATGAGAAATAAAAATGAACAAAGCTGGTATAGGTAGTTAGAAGAATTCCTTGAATGTTTTGGATGACATGACTGGTATAATGCATTTTTCGATAAATCTAATACCAAAGTAGCTGATATACCTACGTCTACTTTGTGATAATGAATTTTCACGTTGTTTTCTGTTTCATGAACGAACATGGAATCAAAAACTGAGAAATGATATGTTCATTGATCGACTGAATCTCAATGTCATAAATCAACGAAACCAAAGAAATGTGTATCGATTTGTGAAGCCCAAACAATTTTCTTCGATTTACTGAAAAATATACCGCAACGCGAACGCAAATAACCTCAGATCAACTTCGATATATGAGATAATTGCCATAATAAGGTTAATTTTTTATCATCATCCTATTGTTCGTGATAAAGTATTTTCCAAGGAATTTAATCATCACGTTTTTTTATATCTTTCATATTTATCAGATTATCTCTAGAAATCATAGTTGCTTAGTCCCTTTCAAAGGATGACTACCGCTCTGATATATTTTTCTTATTTCTCATAGTGTTCAATATGTTTCTTCTTTTGCATAAATCGAAGAGCAATGATGTCGGTAAAGAGGCCGAAAAATAAATTTTAATGGTTCTGTAGAATTTGTTCTTTGATAATTTATATAGAATAGCAATCTATGCCATGAAACGTTTGAACTTTGTTCACTATAAATAATTAGTCACATCGCATGTGTACTGGGTGGCATAAAAATATATAAGTCTGGCGCATTTTGATACAGAATACTTTCGTGTAAATATTGAATTCATCATTTTCTAATGACTGGTATTTTGATCTTGAAAATGTTCCCAACTACTTTCCCGTACTTTCCCAATATTCTTTGGCATCGGATTGTCATTCAGATATTCATGTTATTTTTAATTTCGTGTGTTGTTGCCAGCTATAATAGATCCTTAAAATATTCCGAGTAAAATGATGGTTCTCAGAATTACATTCAAATAATAGATATTTCGATCATGAATGTGCTAAAAAGAGTCATTGCATATGGAGAGCACTCACAAATATGTGTTGTATATTTGCGCCACCCTGTATTTATCAAAAAATGAGTAGGATGAACGATATGATAGTTAACGTACGTAGGAAGCGATACCAAGCCGAGTCAAATAAGTCGTTTCAAATTGGGTGAAGTAAATGGATCATTTATTTTTGTGTCTGACAGTTTGAACTGATGATTATCCCAATTGACTACCTACCTATTACACAGAATTCAAGCATTATTAGAAATAGAAATGATAGCTAGTGCTAAGAAATATATTGGACAAACCTGGCAGAATATAGAAACTCGAAGTAAAGAACACATGTTGCTCCTTTTCTATAAGCTTATGGTATCAAAACAATAGTTATCCTATAAGTTTATATTTTATCATCAAGTAATTATTCAGTTATGCAATGTTTCCCTAGTTATTTTAATTCAAATACAAAACGACAAAAATATTGATCTATTTTTGTATTTATTTAGGATTTAATTTTTTTTCCTTTGACTAGATATTCGAGCATCCGATTGAACTTTCTTAAAATATCAAAATAATGACTGAAGTATTCGAATACGTTTGTATTATTTATTGTTATATTTAATATGTAAATTAACTCAAGTATTCAATACTTGATAATTGAAGCATTTTTTAAAACATTCAATGTGCGTTTGTTCGTACGAAATATATTTATCCATAGGAATATGATATTTTATATTGTCGCTCTACTACGAAACCACCTTTATGTTGGAATGTGTGATGTATCATCATAAAATTACATAATAATTAATTGTTAATGCTATTACTGAAACGCTACTGCACTTGTCAACAAAGGGAAGCAAGGATAAACAAAAGTTACCTTTCACCAGAGCTCTAGATCTATAGTGGCTCTAGGCTCAAGCTCTATTGTGTTTTTCCCGAATCGGAGTCTCTGAGGTCACCAGGCACTGACATCTATGCAACACTAATTCACATCTTTTCGACAATGTTCTTTCTCCTTTGTGCTCACCGAAAATACGCAATCTTCGCTAGTAGGAATCTGATAACAATCTGATTTCACACGAACAAAACAAACTTGACAATGGACTTGCGCGCACTTCAACACAAGGCAGCTGTGAGTATTAGCGAGATTCGATTTGATTTGTGGACGAATAGAAGAACGTGTACCGCTGAAATGACGCAGTTGCTATTTTTTATATAATCATAATATTACAACTGGAACTATAATAATTGATCTAGCTTTGTCTAATAAGATTGTTCAGTGGCGGCGTATAACCTAACAATATGTCTTGGCAATGTGGCAACGCTGCGCTAACTCTTTGAGCATGTACCGGGTGTACCACTAAGAAAGGAGCCGGCTGTATCTCGGAAACTATTTGCCGCACAAGTTTCGGAAAAAAATATTTATGATAAAAGTGGCTAAGAAAAATCTCTGGAAATTATTTTCGAGTTTCCAGGACAGCCCCTAGAGGGCGTAATTGCATTGGTCAGTTCAATAAACTGGTTTTTATGTAAATTTGATATATCAAGACATATCAAAAACACTTTTTTCATGTTCTCGAGTTGATTTCCAATCATTTCGATCAAAAAATTTTGCGCTAGCTCTTTAAATAAAAAAGGGAAGGAAGGATGAATAGTACTTTGAAAAAACTCTCATGACTACAGTTTGGTGTAACGGAATTCAACGATCTTGGTCTCATTATGAAGGGTTTTTTTGGTTCTTCCAGATGAATCACGAATCAAGTCGATTCAAATCCTGTGGTGGCCGCTAGATGGCATCGTTTGAAAAATCAGACAATTTTACATTTTTTTCGAAAATTTCAAATGGAACCATATATTCATTCTACTCTAATATGAAAGTAGAGCAAACGAGAAGGAAAATGGTGAAAACCGCGAATTGATACCTCTTGAGGAACCGGTGAAATACTCGAAATAATATTATGAAAATATTCACCACAGGAATCTAACTTCAATAATCGTAATCAGAAATATCCTATATCTATGAAATTATGATTTTTATAATTCATTTATTTTGGTTTCACGAACTGCTATTATATCTCACAATAGTGAAGGAGACGCTTAGTTATGACATAGCTAATTTGAATGAAAGAAACGTCAAAATATAATTGAAGTTCCATTGGAAGTTTTCACTGTTCATTGTGGATTGCTTATTTGTCAAAATGCCGATAACCAATGAAAAGGTTTTCACCATTTTTCTTCTCATTTACTCAACTTTCATATCATAGCAGAAAAAAATATGGTTCCATTTGAAATTCTCGAAAAAAAAAATGGCGAATTGGCTGATTTTTTCAAACGATGCCATCTAGCGGCCACCACGGGATTTGAATCGATGTGATTCGTGATTAATCGGGAAGATCTGAAAAAACCCTTCATGATGAGACCAAGATCGCTTAATTCCGTTACACCAAACTGTAGTAATAAGAGTTTTTCCAGAGTACTATTCATCCTTCCCTCCCTCTTTTATTTAAAGAGCTAGCGCAAATTTCTTTTGATCGAAATGATTGGAAATCAACTCGAGAACATGGAAAAAGTGTTTCTGATTTTCATAAAAACCCGTTTTTTAAGTTGGCCAATGCAATTATACCCTCTAGCGGCTGTCCTGGAAACTTGAAAATAATTTCCAGAGATTTTTCTTGGACACTTTTATCATAAATATTTTTTCCCGAAACCTGTGCGGCAAATAGTTTCCGAGATACAGCCGGCGTCCTTTCTTAGTGGTACACCCGGTATATTCTTTCACACTTGAAACCTCATCCTAAAATTTATCTCTCAAAAATAGGTCATAACTCCCTGATGAGGCCTGGCATGCCGAAGCAGTCTGATTTGCATCAGCTGAACTAGGTGGTTTCAAAATGATCTAGTTATCCGTGAAACAAGAAATCGTTCGCAGGTTATGCATTTTTAATAAATATATGTATTTTTTTACGGCTAGAACAAAAAAACTGCTCTTGTTTTACTGTGGTCGATACATCAATGAGGTACTTTGTATGTCATAATTTTATTTCCGTATCTGATATAATGACTCCATTGTGTTAGTATTTCAAAAAAAAATCTCATCGCTCATGGAATGTCAAATTTCAGCAAATGACAGCTCTCTCTAATAGATGAGCATTACTTGAGAGGAAATCACTCGAATGATTGCAGCATTCGCCTACAGCTCATGCTTCATTCTCGTGGGAAATCACTATCATTCCGTGCTCGTTAAACAATATACTATCTTTTTATTCTTCAAAATCGTATGAAACTGTAACTTTTAATAATTTTGATGGATTTTTCATTGCATCAAAAGAAAGTGTTTCGATTGAATAGCTAAGCAGTTGTGGAAAATCGTTGAATTCAGGAAAAAAAAACTGAATTCAAAAAATCAAGAAATAGGTTATCACATTTTTTAGAGAAGAGGATATTTCACACATGTTTTCATTTTGTTCTTAAGTCATTAATGATACATTCTCACACAAAATTGAATAAATTTATCGATTTTCTTGTCACTAAGTATTCATCGATAACCTGTTTGTTCATCATTATTCCTGTGTGATTCAACACTGATTGGATGTTTGAATATTTTATTATATCACTGATTTGGTATGGTAATTTTTATTATCAAATTATGATGTATTGAAATTATGTTTACATATGGGTTTCTCAGGAAAAATAGTCAAGATGATTTTATTATTGGTATTTATTCATAATGGAAGTATCTAACAAAGTGAACTAAACTTAATTATAAAAGTTAACATATTATATACAACTATCAATATGGAAATAAAAGGCAATCAGCTTAATATATGTACAAAAAAGTGGTTTGCTATTATAATCTATTTATAATAAAAATCACAGACACTATCTATATAATCTGGCCTTTTGGTTTACAAACAAAATGTTCCACCGATTTATACAACAACAAATGATACATATTCTGTTACATGAAACACAAAAACCATTCTCTGGTAAATTCAAAGAAACAACACATAAAATAAAAATATTATTCCAACAAGTAAATATTGAATGTTTTGAAGGGTGGGTAGAAATGAGTGGAAAAATTATAAATTCAAAAATTATTTCATCTGATGGAATTAAAACCAGTTGAATATTTTGTGAAAACTAGGGCAGTGAGGGTACAAATTTGATTAAATCTTGTTTTGATTTCAATAAGTTCCATATATTATTATGAATTTATCGTCACCAATAAAAGCGATTTATCCAACAAATGCTAAAAGATAGTTTTATAGCTCACGATGAAAAATTGAAAAGTCCCTAGGCTGTTTTTGAACATTCTTTTAGCATTTGTCACATAAGTACAGTATTTTTTATACGATCGTACTCATTCAGTTGAAATCGAAAAAGAGAAATTAATAATGAGCAATATAAGTATCAACTTCATTTTTATAATTTTGATTTTGTAGCACAAGTGATGTACAAGGGCCTGTAAAAAAGAGGGTAATTCATCATATTCTTGATATTCGAAACTATTTTCATTAAAGTATCGGAAATGATAAGTTTAGTAGTCATTGCCACCTCCTGTTTTTCAGTGCGTCCAAGCATTTTTTGTGATAATCATTCATTTTCTAATGTTGAAAAAATTCCTCCATCATTCATTACTGAATTTTAAAAATTTCGCCAGTTCATCGGGTCTTTTAAGAATTTTTGTGATTATCTTCAATGGCCTGTATTCTCATTAGAGTACAAAATATCTTTTTGGAATATATGACTTGAAATCTCAAAATCACTACTTGTAATAACTTGTCAAGTCCAGAACATGAATAGTTTTTTTCAGACAGTCAATTTCATTGTGTTCAAGAACATGTTAATAACTCGATTCCACAGAAAAATCATCATTTCGTGGACTCCTCTCACGTTGTTTTCTTGACACGATCGTATAAAATAACACCGAAAACTCGAGTTTACACTTACACATTTTTACAGCCATAAAATAGCATACGTCGACAACACCGAACGCTCTACTGTTTCTTCGTATTATTATTATCAGTCTGCAAAGAAAAAGGAAAAGGTAACCGACCATGCGCCATCAACTCCGCGTAGAGCTTCAACTGTTCGGCGGAGGCGATCGGCATCATAGGTGGTGCTGAATTGACGTTACCCCCCGAATACATGTTCTGCATCGCCGCCGTATAGTACATCGTAGGGTCTATGAAGGGCAAATAGGGCGGCAACCCTTTGTTCACTTGCTCGTACAGCTGCGTCAGGTATGGAGGAAAGGAGGGTAGGGCAGGACTCGAGTGTGGTTTAGGGGGTGGCATTTTCGCCATAGGCTCGGGTTTCGCGAAAACGCTAGGTTTCGCAGAAGCTACCCTCTTGTTGTACCTGGAGATGGGGTTGTCCTCGGGGGATAAGCGTTTCTGCGCTTGGGGGTAGTTGCTGGACGTTGGGGAGGTGTAGGGCTTGTTGGGACCGACAAGGGTGATCTCCAGGTTGGGCCCTAGTCGCCTGCCCTCCATCAGCTGCGTATTCGTTTTGTAGAGGTTCTTGGTGACGCTGTCGCGGTTGTAAGGGCTGATGGAAGTGCTAGGGGGAGCTCTCATCGTTTCCACGAAGGGTTTCTGGGGGCTGTTCACTGATAGGTCTACTGGATCACCCCCAGACTGTCTGGGCAAAGAGGGGTGCGCGAACTTGGGAGCGTGCGGGGATGATTTAGGGAAAATGTCTTTAGGGTTGCCGTACACTACTTTCTCTGAGTAGGAATAGATGGAGCGCGATTGCATTACTTTGGGAGGGGTGGAACCTGTGAGGAAAGGGAATGAGCCACTAGGCGACGTGGCTTTTTTCGTGGGGGTGCTAGGCGATGACCCTTTGACGTGGCTGATGTTGAGGGATTGAGGAACGTTGATCGGCGATCGTTTTTGATGGACGGTGATGCCTACGGGAGGAGGCATGATCTCCCTTTTTTGTACAGGAGGGGTTGATACTTGAATTACGGAAGGTCTGAGGTCTTTGAGCGAACTGGGTTTCACCGGGGTAACTTCCAGTCCGCCCTCTTTCAGTATGTCGAGCTTTCGCTTTTTTATTCGACAAGAGTCCGTCTCTGGATCGACCTCCGGCAGCCTTGATTTGAGAGTGGTTTCCATTTCCAAGTGGTGCTGAGATGGGGTTTCAGAGTCGCGGGTTTGGAGGACGGGGATGTTTTCTTTGCCCTCGACGGGTAGGTTGACGTCACTCGCAGGGGAATTTGGAGCAACGGGGGTGGGTGTTATCGTCCTGGCTGGCTCTGTCTTCACGGATTGCGGCTCGATTTCTTCGGGTTCTCGCTTGATTTCTTCTTGTTCTCGTTTGATATCTTCGTTTTTTATTTCAGTTGGTTCGATTTTGACGGAGGCGTTAGATATATTTTCGAATTTGACGACGGAACTGACAGGACAGCTTTCGGTTTTCACGAGGTTGGTTTCGATTGTCACTGATATCGTCACATTTTCACTTGTTTTTTCGGGGTTGAGGTCAGCTGTGGGGGAGATGGTTTCACTTTTCGCGGTGGTGTACTCTATTTTGACGGGATTACTTTGGGTGATGACTGTGGATAGTTCGGTTTCCACGGTCATGCTCTCCGTTTTGATGATGAGCTTCTCGGTTTTGGTCTCTGTTTTCACCGTTGGCTGGAAGTTGTCGCTGTTGTTATTGATGTTGTTTTCGCCGTTGTTGTTGTTGTGGACTGTTTCCTTATCGCTTTGGCTTCGTTTTTCCTTCTGTCGTTCCGGTTTGACCCTGACACTTCTCAGGGATGATGGTTTTCCTTCTACCCTCGAATTATCCTGAAATAAAAAAAAACATTAAACAAAAATCATCGATGAGTTCTTCAAATAATACTTCGATTGTTTTTATGTTCTCACCTTATTCTCAGAGGGTGTAACTGTGGTGGATGGCATTTTAGTAGAAGTGGATGGCATTGGATTACTGTCGCAGCTACTAGAATCAGCATCGCTCAGGCTGCTGCTGCCTCTCTTGCTCTTCAATCTTCTTCTCGCTGATCCAGGTATAGGTTTGTATTCTTCTCCCCTCACGTGTCGTTCGTATGGTAACAAAAACCTGCAAAAAAACGAATTTGAATGCTATGCCACAGTGTTTTTGTTCGTCAGGACATCAAATCAGCACATTTCAGAGTAATTCGTTCATAGTCTAAACGTTCGAAAAGCCCTGATATTCCATGAATAGGTAAGAAATATATGTATGTATAAGGTTATGTTATTTCAGATAGGGAATAGGTCGCGTGCAAGAACTGTCAGATGACCGACCCTGGAGGCAAAACATATTTGTTTACAAGTGATCGAAATAGTTTTCCACAATTATTTTGGCATATGAATCGTATTTTTCCGCTATTCATCAATTCGCTAATGCCATCACATTGTGCTGTTGTAAAATGCACAAAAACTGCAGCGGAAGATGAAGAAATCCGGATGGTACATTATGATTCAAAAGTAAGTACCTACTATAGTCACTCACATAGTTTTCATTTTTGAAATTTGATTATTTCTCTGATTTCTCATCGGAATTCCTTCTGCAATAGGATCAGCTAATAGAAATATACCTGAAATTTCTAGAATAATGCAAGAAGATTGGATTCATGCAATCAATCGGTAGGACTGGTCTGACATGCTGACGATCGTGTGTGTTGTAGACATTTTCAATCTATTAGCAGTATTAGCTTGTATTGCAGAAGTGGCAGAAGGCAGAAGGAATTTTAATAAGGAATGACAACATTTCATGATGCTAACTATGTGAGATTACTATTTACCTGAAAAATCATATTCCTTAGTCTCTTGCTGCATTTTTTGTGCATCGTACAACAGCACAATGCGAAGGCATGCTTGAATTAATGAATAACGCAAGAAACACGATTCGTATGCCAAAATATTGTGAAAAACTATTTCAACCTTTTGATTCCTCTGTAACCAAATAAAAAAGTGAGGTTATGTTTCGATAATTCACAGAAGAATGAGGTTGTGTTTCAATAATTCACAGAAGAATGAGGTTGTGTTTCAATATTTTGCCTCCAGGGTCGGTCTTCGTGCACGCGACCTATTAACATCTATACCTTTCGTAATGACGTCTTATGATGGTAGCTGCACTGGTACTGTTCTGGTGTCCACTCATCTCCTCGAATATAGATTTCCATAAACGATTGCCTGTCACCGAGTCATAGCCGCCTAGCCTTTGTACTTTCGAGAAGAACTCGTGGAGGTTTACTGGAAAAAGAAGAGATCAAATTATTTTGACGATCTTTTGGGGGAAGGGGCCGGATGTTAACGCACATTCTTTGTATCCTAGGGACGGGATTCTGCCTATCGGGGTGCGATTTGATTTCATGAAAGATCCCAGTTTCCTTACGAATTCTCTGTTCTCGTTGTTTTCGTGACAGCGCGTGCTGCGGCGAGGTGTGATGCCAGATTCGCCGCGCAGTCCATTTTTACTGTCACCCTGAAAAACAATAAAAATGAAATTCTTTGAACCTGTTGGATATTAGTGGGGTCGACATTCAAGATGATGTGAAAAACGACACAGATTGATTTTGATTTCATTGTTTTTTGATGTTTTCTTATGGCTGCGAAACAATTGAAGTTTCATGTTAATAGCAGGAGCGTCATTTCAGAGTAAAATCCCTCATTCATATGTCAACATCATTATGACACTGAAAAGTGTCAAACTATAAGCAGCACAACTTTCAAAGAAACATATTTTGAATTTACATGTTGAGAACGGGTGCAGATTCGGTTCCGAAACGTCCAAAGATAAGTGAAAATTCGATATTTTTTCAATATATCTATATTTCTTTCTTTCAAAAATGTTTTCAAACAAATTGTCACTGACAAGCTACTGTATTTTTCTTCTAGACTCCCTGATAGAAAAATTTGTCTCACTACAAATATATTGAAATAATACGAATATTTTTATTTTATAGAAGCGAGGAGAGAAAATCCCAAAGAATCAAGTAAAATGAAAGCTATACATATTATTTTGCTCAAGAAATATGTTCGTTTGGTTATTCCGACAAAAGATACAGAGATTTGAACTGAGCTAAAACCGTTCTGACAATGCATTCATACCGAAAGTCTCGGTTATTAGACTCCTCATCACCAATAACTCACCCTCGTATTATAACCAGCCCCCACTTTAACCGACGCCTCCGATTCGTTGCTCTCCGAGCCGGGCGAGACGCTCCTCTTTTTCCGCCTGCCCCGCGGCCTGCCCTTCAGCTTGGGCGCCAGATGGTTGCACAGCATGTCGTGCCCTTCCAGCTCCGGGTAGTCGAAAGTGTCGCGGCAGAAGAGCACGCGCGTGCGCGGATGAGCCACGTAGAAGCCGCCCAAAGCGTGGACGATCTTGCGCCTGAGGACGGAGTCTTCCACGCCGTCGAGACGTTTCATGGTGGCGCGGTAGCGGCAGTACTTGGGGTAGCTGAGGATGAGGACTCGAGGGGGCGGTTGGGCGGTGGTGGGCTCTTGCTTCGTTTGGAGTTCTGCAACAATTATGTTCGGTGTTACACAGATGAAAAGGATTTCTAATGGCGCTCTTGATAGGTCCAACCAAATATTTGGTTGATTTTTCTACAGAACTTTCTTGACTCATTCATGAACGAAAATCTTGATCTGAATGAATATTTCTTTATTTTCACAGTACGCATTGGACGAAGCATGAATCAATTAGATTGAAACAAGAAACTTCATCTATTGCCAAGTTAATCTAAAATCATTCATTCATTTCATTCTCTAATTGCTCAAAAATATTTGTTGTCTGATTTACAGTTAGAAATTTTCCTCGGCGACATACAAAAAAAATGTGTTGACATGAAAATTTTCGTTCGTCTGTTGAATTAATATTTATGTTGGACTGACGGCGTTTAGTTATGGTTTTTTTTTCACTAGGTTTAAACAAACTATCTTCCTTTTTGAATTTCTTGACGAGTTATCTGCTTCGGAGACTTTTTTTACAGGAATTGATAATTTGATTCAAATCATGATACAATCATTTGATCAAAGTGTCGCAATCCTGAATTTTGATTCGATCATCGTTGTCATGTGCAAGAACGATCAAGGACAAATTGACAAGGGCAAAATGATCCCGAACTCTCTTAGACTTACTACTAACGTGAGTTATCAAAAGAAATATCACAACCTGAATTTCAAGTGAAAAGTTATTTGCAACGCCAAAGACTAAAACCCAAAATATGTAAATAACTGATGAAAAGCTCGAACACTTATTTGAACTGTACTAGAAATGTACAGTGGATCAGCATTTGAGAAAATAAAATTGATGTTTTTTTTTTTGCAAATGGGATACCGAATATATTCCATATTTGGATAGATTGCACCCAAGGTGGATATATATATTTCATCATGATTGCACCCTCAAAAATTTTTGATATTTCTGAGAATTTTAACGTGAAATCTACAAGGGGGTATATTGCTTCTACGACACTGTGTGACTATAATTCTCTTGAAGCCTTGAAATTGATCTTGATAAGTAAACTAGATGGTTTTATTGTCATTTGCCCGCAGATAATAAAATTGATTCAAAGCACAAAACAAATATGAACAAATAAACATCTTCTTGTCGTGGATTGACCCGATTGATAAGGAAATATCCATTACAAAAAAGATCATCTACCATTCAGGATCGACAAATCGTAGTGAACGAATCATTATCAGGTATGTTTACTAAGTAAATAAGCAAATTTTCACAATTTCGCCAATATCTATTGCGGCTATTTTCTCATCCATCACGTTCAAACACCCAAAATCATTGTGAATTGTTTCGGGCATCAAAATAATAATAATACTTTACTCGAAAATGGTTCGTTTCCCAGCATTATAACAAGAGTATCTTGAGGAATCATATTCTGTGTTTCGCTCAACCTGAACAAAAATCAATAACGCTCAAATGCATGTACTGAATACGCCATATTAAGCATAGGTAGATTTTGAATATCAAACGACCCTCAATTTATTCAGGTCATGAAATCATCTGTACCTACATAGATCTAAATATCTTCTTTGTTTGAATTTACAATGAAGGTTACTTCATTTATCTTCATGTTTTTCATAAAAACGATGCAGGTATTAAATTAATCTATGAGTAAGTATACAGGGTGGCGCTTCTTTCAGATCTGTTTTGTTTGTAATATTGGCCACCAGCATTTCCATATCAAAACCATACCTGAAAGTTTCTTGCCGAGAAAAAACTTGCATTAGAGATATCTCTTAATAGATTTGGCGAAGAAAAAAAAACATGACAAATTTTGATTACCACTGCTCTGTGCATTTTTGAGTCCAAGATTTGAACAATGTTGATGTATGTATACCTACTACTTACCTTACTGTATGTATGTGACAATGACCACTATGTATTATGAATGATTAACATATCCCTGACAAATTCGTTCGATAATTTCTCTACATTGAATGCAATAGGTATTCACTACTGCATCCTATGTTACTCAGAACAAAACAAACATGAATAAAAATATTTCACAAACAACCTCCATCAACTGGGAAACCACATCTGATAACATTTGGCGCGACAATATATACATTTGACGATGGTATAATAAAATTAGTTCCATTCACAAAATTCTTTTCAGTACACGACGATAAAGGAGCAACATGTGTTCAAAAATTATTGTTTTCGCGTTTGCGTTCATGGGGTTTTTAGCGATGATCGAAAATTCGGCAGTGCTCCCACTGTCGAAAAGTCCAACAAATATCAATGGGATCGCCAGAGAGAAACCATGTGTCTGCATGAATTGGAGGTCTTGTCGAGGAGAAATTGATTCTGAGTAAGTGGTACTGCTTTTCAGTTGTATGTCGTATATTATGTCGTATGTACAGGATGATTGTTTATATTTTTCTCAATAGCTATCTCAGTTAATATTGGTCATACAGAAACGTTCGAATAGGCAAAAATAAAGTATTGTTATGGGGACTCCGAAAAGCATCGCAAAACCTGAAAATTTTACATAAACTGGTGATCTTTTGAATGGAATAATTATTTTTCTAATCGGTAGAGTTCTTTCTTCTGGTTTCAAATATATATAAACTTCAATGGGGTTATTTTTGTCAGTTTTCGAAAAGTATTGATTCTTAGGCAGCTGTAGAACGCCAGAAATCGCAGCATTGCCGTCTGGCATTCTAAATCTGTTAGACGTAATATCAGGAAATCAAGTGTTCAAACATACAGAGTGTTGAAGTAGAGAAATAAAAATAGTTTTTCCGCAGTAACTCAAGAATGATTGAATATTTTGCATTCAAATTCGGTATATGCGGTTTCAATCTTTGAATGGGTTATTTTTTGCCCAGAAAATCATTCCAGACATTTGTGGTGTACTGGGAGTTGTGGTAACTTTTCTCCCCATAGTTTTTCCGCTACTGATCAAATTTCGATTATGATGACAAACTAGGTACCTATAGTTATATTAGAAGGGAAAAATAGGGTATTTTCAAATTTTGGATACACCCAGTAAGAGACCAGTTGCAGAAGATCAAATAGTAGCTTTTATGCTTCATTGAACGAAATGTCTTTTCGAGATCGTAGATATAAAACTGAAATTATGTTTTCAGCTCCTCAAGGAACGTGCAGCGTGATTTCAATAAATCGTATCGAATGTCACAGAGTAATCATCTCGAGCATCTGACACCGTTTCAGACGAAATTCGTGCCTCACATTTTCTAAAACAATGCAAATTTGATATGCGAAACGCTATAATTTACCGCGATAAAACAGCCAGACGAATTCTAAGGCACCGACCGGCAACGTTAATATGTTAAAAATAACTAAATTAGCGATTTACGGTCTTCAAATTCCACGTTTATGCTATCGCTATCCCAATTATCATCTCTGTTCCTTTGCCATGGAACATGGAGAAATACCCATGAGCGACTCGTCAATATTCGGTTATAAAAATTGTCACCCCAAAAATAATTGAAACCCTGACATTGTAAATTAATTCCACTGATTAGGAAGTCAGCCATGGTATTGGTGTTGTTGACATAAGTTGACTTGTCTTTCTTATTTAGATGGTTCTGTCAAAGAGAAAATATCCAGATCTTAACCATAACCATTCATAATAATTGAAAATGATATAGATTCAAAATTTTTTTTAGTATCCAATGCCATCCCAGTTACGTGTTCGTTTGTTGTTATCAGCCAGATCCAGAACGTATCATTCGTCATGAGGATGAAGTGGAAGAAGAGCCCATATTACCTCTCAAAGAAGAAATAAGGCTCATCCATATTCCATGAATATTTTTCGAAGTGCCGCTGCTTTCATAATATTGTTGTTTTAGTTTATAAGAATATGAGCTGAATAAAGTATCTACCTTACAATTTTAATGTATTTTTTATTTACATCCAGTAGGTAGGTAAGTACTTCTAATAGTTGTATTCGTACAAGGGAATTCGTATAGCTTTCTTCTCATAGTTTCTGATGACCCATCCACAGCGTATCTCATTTTAAACGTTCCCCTCTATATCTCAGTTATTAGTCGTGCGATCTTTACAAAATAGAGACGAACATCATTTTGGACAATGGCGTGCGATTTTATTAAAATGAGGAGTAAATATTCCATGAAATAGCTATCATGACTTTTTTTACATGAAAACTGACCTCATAATAATTATGTTCTTCATGATTTCAAACACCCATATGTGAATTTTCATATAATTTCTATGAAGGGTTTAAGAAAAAAAACAGGTTCATCTAAACAGTATCATTCCTTTTTTATGAAGGTAATAGTTATTTACTCGGAAACGGTGAGTAAAACAAATAGTAAAAAGTATATTCTGTTTTTCCTTACAAATCAAGATTTTCTACCTACTGGAGCTATTGAACGTTCCAAAATTTGCAGTTATTAAGTTGAATTCACTATTTTTTCGAGGCAAAAATGAAGAAAATGAATCCCTCAATCCTGTTAGGAATGTGATTTTTGCATATGGAGGTTCGAAAGCATGAGAAACAATAATATGATGTTGGATTTCTTGCAAAAAATTCTATTATGATTTCATAAAAATCGACCCCTTTTTATTTCAATAAAAAAGCACCCCACCGTCTAAAAGAATACTCGTCTCTGAAGAAGTGATCATATCGATGGTCATTCATACCAGCCCAAATTTGGTACGAATCGCACGAATAATAGCTGAGATATAGAGTGGGGGGGGGGCGTTTAAAGTGACACACTGTATATCAGCTTACATAGTTGATTTCACTTACCCCAATTTTTTCTTTCGCTATCCACATCGCTGAAATCCAACCCGTTATCCGTCAAACTGAAACTCATCCCCGCCGTCTTTTTGGGGGGCACCCCTCCCCCCTCCTCGTTCCCCTCCAATGGTCCGAGGTCTTTTTCGCACTTCGCCAGCCTGCCCCAGGTCCACTCCGCCTCTGACGTTATCCACGTGACTAGATCTTCCACGCGGATCACGACTTTTTCCGAAATTGCCAGGACTTCATCCTGAAAAAAATAACAAAAAATATGAAAAATGTTCTTCATTATATAATGGAGTATATTATATAACTTGTGTGGAAAGTAGTGTGATTCGCCTAAGCAATCTAAAATGGCTGTATATCATCAGAACGTATTCCATCGGAACCGTTGTATCGGGATATATTCGATGGAAATGGAATTTCAACGTAACCGTAATTTAACGGCGAAGAACTTCATCGGAATTTAATCCATCATGTAGTAAAATGAAGAAATGTATTCTGTAAGAACGTAAAACATCTTATTTCAAAGGAATGCGAATCCATCATAACCATCATCATCAACAACAATCTTTTTAGTCGCTTCAAAATAGTGTTCTGATGGAATACGGGTACGATGGAATACGGTTCTGATGAATTACTGTCGCTATGAAATACGGTTTCGATGAATTAATCTCCCGATGAAATACATGTCCTATGAAAAACGGTTTTGATAAAATACTATTCCGATATTTTACTGCCGTGACAATCAAGTTTTTGATGATCGAATACGTTTCCTATTCAATGATATTCTGATGGATTAAATTTTGATGAATTAGGTTCTGTTTCCAAATTGGAAAATACTTTAATTCCATCAAATTTCGAAGGATCGTTGTGATCTATCCTAATTAAATCATCAAAAGGGATCCGAAAGTTTTAAAATATGCTTGAAGCAGGAGGCAGCGCTCTGTGCCCCGAAGGGGTAGGTTTCGACCCTCAAAAGGCCTGTCGAGGACACCTGTTGCATCAAAGCAAATTAAAAAATCATCAGGAATATAATCAGGTTAGTCTGTTCAAACATTCAATTGAGTTAATTCGATTAATAATATGTAGATATGAAGCATAATATACGGAACGTCTGACAGAAATTCTTCCCAACCATATAAATGGATATCGTCCTTGTGTCAGTCGGTTCTAAGAGTCAAATCGAATTTACAGTGTTTCCTCAGAAACTAAACGAGACACAAACGTAACACAAAGGAAGAGAAAGTTGTGTTTAAATTTGTTCAGTTTAATAAAAATATAAAACTTAGAAAACCCAGTGGCGTATTCACCATAAATATCAATAAGGTATTCCAATGCGATGCCACTGGTGATATTTCGAATTTAATAGCACCAATAAAAGCTCAACGTAACTGTTGACAAAATCACTAAGTTTCATTGAAATTGGCAGAAAATCTTTTGAGCAACTAATAAAGAAACGATTTTTTTTATGAAAACTTTGATAGTCCTGTATTCCAAGTTGAAACTAATGTTCATAAACGCTTTTTTTCATAAGATATGACAAGAAATCACTCTCTCAATTTTTTCGCACTTATTGACATTTATTCACTGAACTGCCTGAGAAGTGATTATATAGGGTGATTCAAAATTCGATGTGAATGTTTCAAGGACGTATTGTTTGGATGACTGAGGTTTCTTCTTTATATAAACATGTGTCGTAAAATGGACATCCTCCGAGCTAGAGCAGACTTCTTCTTCGCTGCTTCAAAAATTATGTAAACCCAGTTTTGGGGGGGTTGGAGGGGGGTCCACCCACGAAGGGGATGCATTTTAGGACACATGTTAATATGCAGCAACGGTTTTATTTTGATCCCAACAATAATAATATGTCCTTGAAATATTCACATCCAATTTTGAATCACTCTGTATTTTGTTTTGGTGGTATGGCAGCTATGATAACATGCACTTTTGTTCGATATAAAAACTTTAGGGACTTGATACGTTCGAGAAAGTGTAATAAATCGTCTTTATTCATCATTTGCAGAAAAAAAAATTGCACAAATAAAAACCAAAAGACAAAGATAATTTGCCATATCTTATATACCTATCTGCAATTGTGAATAGGCGGAGTATCAGCAGAAAGCTGTTTTTCAACTCAACCCCATGATGTTATTTTCCTTTTGCTGCGCCAATGGCCAGAACCTTATTCTCGATTCCAAATAACAATTTGAATTGGCTCCCCAGGGAGGATATGGGAGCGCGGGTTGTTGAAGGTCGAGGATACTTGTTTCTATGGGAACTTGAGGACAGAGGCATGCGCATTTTTCAATTCAATTCATAAGAATATACATTTAAAGGTAATGCGTATGAGATGAAGACTTTTCAGGCAATGAAATGTATACTTTTGGTGAATTGGGTAATTGATATGGTATGAAGGATAGCGCGAATCAAAATTACTATTTTTCCACCATTAGTTATAGAACCTAGCATTATTCACTCCTTTTCAAGGCGTCAAGTATGTTTTCTCTATATCACGTTAGTTTTCGTGATTTTCTGAACTACTAGTTTATAGAGACATAGCCACCTCTGTTATAATTAAAACGAATTCACTGCCGTGGTGCGAGATTCGCAGGAATTGCAACATCATTCACGGGTGGAAAGAAAATATAGGACGTCAGTTTTAAAGTTTTTAAACGTCAGTAATGATGTATTTACATATATAGTTGTAAATAAATATCTATTTCGTTCGAAGTATATTATGACATCTATAGATTTGATAAAAATCAATTGCTGATATTCCTCAATCTACTGCCCCTGGGGGGCCAGGTAGCCGTGCGGACAGAGTGTCTATATTCTAATCCGCATTCGCTTGCCGGTCGTGGGTTCGAGTCCCGTCGACTGCAGAAATTTTTCTGATGGCCCAAGAAAGTGTTTGGGATCACACGTTAAAAGGTAAGGCCCCCGTCATTCCTTGCTCGCACAAGACTCTCGAAGACTTCTGAGGGTTGCTCGTAAGGGGGCAACCGAATGACGGATAGAACAATTTTAGAACAATTTTTTTTTTTTAGAACATATATATCGTATCTCAGCAGCAACTTTTATTATTTATCACAAGGTGAGAAAATTCGTTCTTTTTAGAATTCCAGTAATTTCATCTCACTATTTGTAGCAAATTTATATGGTAAGGACTCATGCTTTTATCGTCAGAAATGATTTGCTCGTCACAACACGAGTTTTCAATACTTTTTTTTTTCATTTAGCGACAACTACTTCTGATCACCTTGTATCAATCAATAATTTAGCAATCATGCGATATTTTTGACCACCGTTTGAACAAAACAAAAAAAAAACACCCAATAGAGAATAAAGCATCATATTATGCATTCTTTTATAATAAATAGGCGCACAATGTTGCCACGTCTCCAACATTCACACAACATTCACATGATATTTTGTTATGGAATATAAGAAATATTTGGACATGCTGGTTGCTCGAAAATGTCATGAACTTTGATTTCATGGGTTGCTCCGATTATGTCTTATTCAACGACAGGACTCTTACATATTTTTGATTAACTTGATTATAATTGGTCACTTGACAACTTTGCTTCCTGATTGGGAAAGGAAAATTATCTGACCAATAACGAATGAAAACTGACGCCACCATTTATTCGATGTATCTTCAAATGGCGGCCATAAACAAAATATAAACTCATTATTTACAACTATTGCAAACATTAATTCAGGTCCCTAACGACTAAGTGGAGTACCTAACTGAATGCCAATAATTCATTATCAAAATTTATTAACTAAAATTTTATGAAACATTGCACAGCTTTGATTACTAATTTTTCTTGTTGATGATGATAAGAACTGCAAATTGAAGTAACGCTGCCTCTAAAGAAAAGTGTATTATTGAATCACACCAAATCGTTTATATTGATATTAAAATTTTCTTCATTCTATATGCCCATGGAGAGAAAGAAATTTGAAACGCTGAGAGTGATTCAACTTCAATTCATTAGCAATGCAACAGTATGAACCCAACGACTGTATACAGATAATAACCCCTTATTCCCTTGCCTTGCCATAAAAACCAAGGTTTATTGTTGTACAACTAAACTAAATCTCTTGCGACCTCCCGACTGTTGCCGATATAATTTCTATTTTCCGTTCTGGCTGCTTCCCTGTTCCGTGCCCTCGCCCAGAATGTGCCAGTAGATTTATTCAGCAGAGGGAGAATTCGGGAGCTATTCCGCCCCGAATTACAGTCGGATGATCCTTTGTATCAAACTTAACGACGCATTCCGTGAAAGCCGTAAAAATATTCGAATCCAATTCGGATCATTTTGTTTGAGAAAAACGATTTGTGTTTTCGCTGTTGGTACCTTTAGGCTTGTTTGCTTCTCGGGAATTCATAACATGTCTCTAACAGCTCAATCGACATCCAATTACTAGTACTCATCACCGTGAGTTTCCAGGAAAACTCAATTCGGATGCCCTTCTGGCTGCGACAGCTTTTTTTCAGATGAAACAAGTTGAAGGAAATTCTTCAACCCGCTTCCATAGAAATGGCTGCTGAGAAGTTAACAATACAATAGAATTCATTCTTCACTAGAAGATCGACAAATTGCTGTTGGAAGACATTCATATCGACGGTCATCTCACGTAATGACGTACCTATCTCAGTTTTCTTAATTTTAAAGGATGATCCTTTGTATCAAACTTAACGACGCATTCCGTGAAAGCCGTAAAAATATTCGAATCCAATTCGGATCATTTTGTTTGAGAAAAACGATTTGTGTTTTCGCTGTTGGTAGCTTTAGGCTTGTTTGCTTCTCGGGAATTCATAACATGTCTCTAACAGCTCAATCGACATCCAATTACTAGTACTCATCACCGTGAGTTTCCAGGAAAACTCAATTTGGATGCCCTTCTGGCTGTGACAGCTTTTTTTCAGATGAAACAAGTTGAAGGAAATTCTTCAACCCGCTTCCATAGAAATGGCTGCTGAGAAGTCGTTAACAATACAATAGCATTGATTGTTCACTTGAAGATCGACAAATTGCTGTTGGAAGACATTCATATCGACGGTCATCTCACGTAATGACGTACCTATCTCAGTTTTCTTAATTTTAGAGGATGATCCTTTGTATCAAACTTAACGACGCATTTCGTGACAGCCGTAAAAATATTCGAATCCAATTCGGATCATTTTGTTTGAGAAAAACGATTTGTGTTATCGCTGTTGGTAGCTTTAGGCTTATTTGCTTCTCGGGAATTCATAACATGTCTCTAACAGCTCAATCGACATCCAATTACTAGTACTCATCACCGTGAGTTTCCAGGAAAACTCAATTTGGATGCCCTTCTGGCTGTGACAGCTTTTTTTCAGATGAAACAAGTTGAAGGAAATTCTTCAACCCGCTTCCATAGAAATGGCTGCTGAGAAGTCGTTAACAATACAATAGAATTGATTCTTCACTTGAGGATCGACATTCATATCGGTCATCTCACGTAATGACGTATCTCAGATTTCTTAATGTTAGAGGAGTGCAATTCAAAGAATTTCAACATTTTAATTCACACATAACTTAGAGTTTTATTCATCAAAGATCATTGTTCTTTTATTTTTTACCGGAGGAACTAGAAATAGTTGATATTTTGAGATTTAGAAAAAGCATCGCTAAAAACGGAGAAAACATATGATTGTGATTTGTGAGATAGGTCACTACGTGAGATCATGTTTGTCAATGTGGCCTTAGATACGCCATGAATATATAGTGAATTTGAATAGATATCGGATCCGAGTATTTTTTTTATTGATAAAAAATACAGAACTTAATTCGACATGTAGAATACCTTACAATACCCCTCTCAGTACCTTGAGACGTCACCCGAGATATTTTAATTTCCACGACAAACCACATTACGAGATACGTCACTGTTGACATTTTTAACAAATAATGAAAATATATCTCACGTGTTGACGTAACTCCCATAGTTAGGTCACTTCGTGAGATTTGGTACTCCAATAATTTGAGATAGGCTGAGTATTCGATATTTAATTACTCGAAAACCAATGAGCAATGCAGTAGGCTCATATAGGTGGAAAAATATTTTTTTCCTGAGTGCCCTAAAATTCCTAAAAATCCCAAAAAATTCATCGACACTAATTCAGACCCACGAAGAAACAATTTGATGTCAGATTTGATGGATAACTGTTTCTTTAGATTTTCAAAATCAGCGGTTGAAGCAATGCAGTAGGCTCATATAGGTGGAAGAATATCCTTTTCCTGATTGCCCTAAAGATCCCAAAAAATTCATAGACATTAATTCAGACCCGTGAAGAAAGAATTTGATGTCAGATTTGATGGATAACTCTTCCTTTAGATTTTCAAAATCAGCGGTTGAAGCAATGCAATAGGCTCATATAGGTGGAAAAATATTTTTTTCCTGATTGCCCTAAAGTTCCCAAAAAATTCATAGACACTAATTCAGACCCGTAAAGGAAGAATTTGATGTCAGATTTGATGAATAACTCTTCCTTCAGATTTTCAAAATCAGCGGTTGAAGCAATGCAATAGGCTCATATAGGTGGAAAAATATTTTTTTCCTGATTGCCCTAAAGTTCCCAAAAAATTTATATACACTAATTCAGACCCGTAAAGAAAGAATTTGATGTCAGATTTGATGAATAACTCTTCCTTCAGATTTTCAAAATCAGCGGTTGAAGCAATGCAATAGGCTCATATAGGTAGAAAAATATTTTTTTCCTGATTGCCCTAAAAATCCCAAAAAATTCATAGACACTAATTCAGACCCATAAAAAAAGAATTTGATGTCAGATTTGATGGATAACTCTTCCTCTAGATTTTCAAAATCAGCGGTTGAAGCAATATGCAGTAGGCTGATATAGGTGGAAACATATTTTTTTCCTGATTGCCCTAAAAATCCCAAAAAATTCATAGACACTAATTCAGACCCATAAAGGAAGAATTTGATGTCAGATTTGATAGATAACTCTTCCTTCAGATTTTCAAAATCAGCGGTTCAAGCAATGCGGTAGGCTCATATAGGTGGAAACATATTTTTTTCCTGATTGCCCTAAAGATCTCAAAAAAATTATAGACACTAATTCAGACCCATAAAGAAAGAATTTGATGTCAGATTTGATAGATAACTCTTCCTTCAGATTTTCAAAATCAGCGGTTCAAGCTCATATAGATGGAAAAATATTTTTTTCCTGATTGCCCTAAAGATCCCAAAAAAATCATAGACACTAATTCAGACCCATAAAGAAAGAATTTGATGTCAGATTT